TGCATTGTATTTTATATTATAGATCAGTGGTTCACATGATAAATCGTTAAGACTCTGGGAACGAACGGACGAACCGTTGTTTGTCGAGGAGGAGAGAGAAATGGTACTATACATAGATATGTTGCTGGAGCTACAAAAATATGCATATAGTACCTGTACTTTCAATGTTTATTTTAATATTCTATTTTGGAGAGGGAAGCAGCTTACGAAGAAAGCGCCGTAACAGGAGTTGAAACAATTGTAAGATTCTTTTTACTATGTAACATGAGATATGTATGTTCCATCTTGAGCCATACTACTCTGTATTTGTTATATACTTTCACTATGGAAAATATCTTGTGGAAGTTGCATTTATTGCACTAAATAAATTCATTTATTTAAACCATGATGTTGTTTAGATTCCAGGTGAACAAGACACAGAAGCTGTTAAAGCTGGCAAGAAAACTATCGAGACGATCAAAGGAGTTAGTTTTGTTGTTGTATTAGCATTGCAAGTTAATTTTATTGGTTTTGTGCCCAGTCCCCCCTGTAGTACCTGAAAGATACCTCAAAATCACACAGATGTATGGAAAACTCTAGTACACCAAAGACATGTGAAGACTGTGCATATCTGAGGCCAAGTGTTTAAGCTTACATTGAGACGGGTACTTGAAGGATATTATAGTAGAATATAGATACTTGGAAGATAATATAGTATGATTAGGATACTTGGAGGATATTATAGTAGAATATAGATACTTGGAAAATGATACAGTATGATTGGAATACTTGGAGGATATTATAGTAGAATTTAGATACTTGGAAGATAATACAGTATGATTGGGATACTTGGAGGATATTATAGTAGAATATAGATACTTGGAAGATAATACTGTATGATTGGGATACTTGGAGGATATTATAGTAGAATATAGATACTTGGAAGAAAATACAGTATGATTGGGATACTTGGAGGATATTATATTAGAATATAGATACTTGGAAGATAATACAGTATGATTGGAATACTTGGAGGATATTATAGTAGAATTTAGATACTTGGAAGAAAATACAGTATGATTGGGATACTTGGACAATATTACAGTATAATATATAATATACGCCTGGAGATTACTATGTTGATGTTTGTTCTCTTATCTTTTCATTAGGCTGAAAGAATCATGGAGGCCATTGAATTGTATAAGGAAGAAAGACAGAAAGAACTTGAACATAAAGCGAGTCAAGTGAGCAAAGACAAAACGGTAGGTTTGTTATTTCTTGTTCTGCACATCTACAAAATGTTTATGTTATACGTATAGACAATATTAAATCTTAAATGAAAGGTTTGTTATTTCTTGCTCTGCACATCTACAAAATGTTTATGTTATACGTATTGACAATCTTATATCTTAAATGAAAGGTTTGTTATTTCTTGCTCTGCACATCTACAAAATGTTTATGTTATACAAATAGACATTCTTAAAATCTTAAATAAACAATCTTAAATAACCATGACCGGCAACATCGCAAAACTTTCCTAGACTAAACACCCTAATTGGGACAACGCCCTACACTGTTATTAAACCCTTCCTGTGAAACCACCACCAATATTTTCTTATTCTCTAATTTGGACTACGACCTGCATCGTTATTTAACTCTACCCATGAAACCACCAATAATATTTTCTTACTCTCTAATTGGGACAACGCCCTACACTGTTATTAAACTCTACCAATGAAACCACCATTATTTTCATACTGTCTAATTGGGACCACGCTCTGCACTGACCTACCATGAAACTACTACCAATATTTCCACACTCTCTAATTGGAACCACGCCCTTCACCCTTCAGTATTGTGTGATTTATACTGAAAATCCCAGTTTCGTTTATTACACAAGTTGTTTTTGTTCTCACATGCATTTTCTTTCCTTTGAACAGCTTCCAAAGCGCGTCATTCATCCGATTCTTGCTGCCTTTGGCAATGTCAGTGTAAGTTTACCAGATCTTCAATGTTTCCATTTAAGAGCAATATGAAGGTCACGTGGTACAAGATGAAAGCCACGTGCATGTTGAACATGATTAATGTAAATATTAATGTAATGGTAAGATTGCAAGATTTACATACGTACGTACGTAGATAAGGAAAAATGGATGAGATGGCTTTACATTAATAACAACTTTATAAAAAATGAGAGTTAAATGTAAAATACACAGGATTTGGAATAATGAAATAAAATATCTTGACCACGAAGATGGAGGCCATAAATATTGTTGTTCTACTATTGAATGCCTGTCTATGTCAACCTCCTTTTCCCGGACCATATACTTACGACGTTTGTAAAATATTTTTTTCTACCCACAGCCTGTACAGTATGTACTTCTAGTGGTGAAAAAAGTAAAGTGAAGGTAAGGTTGAAGTATTATAAAGAGCAGCAAATTATCCCGTGAAGAATCGTTGTTTGTACTAAAAGTTAATTTTGAGCATTTTAAAGGTAAAGTATGGCAAAGTGTCTCGTTGGAGTTACTAAAGGAATTAAATATTAAGTGATATTAGAATACAGTAGAGAGGTATCTTATGAAGCAAGTGCTTTCTACAAAACATTTAAATTATTTAATTTCAGTGAACTTGAAGAATCATTGCTTGTTTTACCGTTTGACTATGTTATTGATGTACTGAAATTTCTTCTTGAGTAGATTAAGGTAAAGTGAAATGTATTTTGACTCCGGTGTCATTAGTTCACATGGTAGAGGTTTCGTTTTCAAATTTTGCTAATCCCAGATGTACTTGATTGTTTAAAATGGTTGGGAAACAGAGTTAAGTTGTCGATGTCTGTTCTTTCTCTTGCGGTAAAATTAAGACGTAATTTTGTTTTTGGTTTCGATCGATATTTTTTTCAATACGTCTGTCTTTAAATCATTCCCTAAGAATTTTATCATATTCCTTCAGTATTGCTGAATATATGATACAATTGGTGAAACACCTATGTACAGTGCTGGATATTTTTCATTTTTTTTCATATTTTGTTACGATAGAGTACATCACAGCAAGATTATATCCACTCCTGAACTACTGCCAGTAATAGACTCTATCAGATCACATTGTCGTAGCCGAGTTCGCGAAATGAAGGTAGGAAGTTGTACGTTTAATAAACCGCAAGTATCGCCAAATTTCTCCCGTAACTTACCATGCGCTACACGACCGTTAATTTATTCGTGGTAAATTTTGTTGACATTTTAATGACTCTAAACTAAACATGAAAAAGTCGTCAATTCTGATTGGTTAAGAGCAATTAAGGCTTTCTTTCACAACACAGTGCCAATCTTAACACTGAGTTTGGCTTTGTATTAAAAAGGTTCATAGAATATTGTTTTGTATTTTAACAATAGAAAAAAGTATGTATTTAGAAACAAAAATATTCATGAGTTTGAATTTTTCATTTTTCTCTAGCCCTTTAAATTTTGCTAAATTAATCGTATTTGAATTTTTGAATTTTTGCACTTCAAACCTCCACAAATGACTTAACAAATCATATGAACTGAACAAATTTTCTTGTCGACGCCAATAAAACTATTGCAAACTTGTAATGATTGCTTTATCTTTAGGATACTGTTGGATTCAATTTGGCGGGACTGCAGTTTATTCAAAGACAGCTTGAAAATCGTGACGTCACATTCTTTGGAGAAACACGCGAGAGACTGGGACAAATACGAAAGAAGAAGAAGATGATTTTGAGGAAATTTCGATGAAGGTTGTTTTGCTACTTAATACTCTGACAACTAAAACGATTGTCTTCGAAAGTACACAATGGCTGAGGTTTGATGACATCTGTGAACTTTCAGATTTGGTCAGAAGGGATAAAAATATTGATGCAAGTCAAATTTGTTGATTACAAAATTTTGTCGTGGGAATTTGAGATTGAAGAAGCGATTGTGTTTTTGTGAAGTTGTCTTTTACGGGTGCTGGGACTGGGACGAGAGGATTAAAGTGGGATCATAGTGTGGGTCTGAGGAGACTGGGAAGGTTGAAATGGAACTGGGAGCGAAGTGATTATAATGGATTGGGAAATATTCAACAAAAACCGCAAGTGAATGGGTTATAATGTATCCTAATGGATATAAGAGAATAGAGTTGTAAATTTAATGTCTAATGTTGTAGATTAAATGACTTTGACTTTCGTTGACGTGATGAAGAAATATTAAGTTAAGGAGAGAAGTCTATTTTTTATCGAATTCATCTGTTAGCAAATAGTGGAGTGTGCATAGGAAAAACATAAAAAAACATGATCAATGGAAAATGATCTACTGTTGATTGCTGTACATAACCATCCTCAAAGATCCCTAACCCAAACTGTATCCTTAGAGGGACAAGTAAAGTCTCCATGTGCCCCTTTGAAATATATGATGCAACAATAAAATGCAACTTTTGCCGACTTTTAAAATTCACATGATTCAGCATTAGTTGATACTGGAGAAAGCTTAAACGCTACAAAAAAGAATTTCATACTTTGTATTTTTATAATTAATTATTGGGCTAGCCTGACATGGACAGTGAAACGAGCCTTTCACTTATATGACGTTGAAATTCGTTTTTTGCGCAACAGATTCTAGCTTGCAGCTACATAAATAATTTTACTGCAAAGTGATCTAAAAAAAGTCAAATTTAAATTAAGAATGATATCACCACATTCACCATCAACACGTTAAGTCAATACCTGCATCAAAATAGAAAATAGAATTGAAATCGGTTTTACATTAAGTCGGGTTTTTCCCAGCTCTAAAAAAGAACAATGTCACAAAAATTAACGGAGTGATTGCAAATTTAAACAAGAAAAAGTAATAAATGAAGTAACAATTATCGAGAAATTCATCCATCTACAATTGTTATAAACAGAAAATGTCTTGTATGAGTTACCAAAATGAATAAAAAATACAGAAATAACTGTATCCTTATATGGCAAAGTACTCTTGTGATTTCAGCATTCAAAAAAAGAGATGTAAAATTGTCATGGTTCATCTAAGATATGGATTTACTCTCATGAAAATGACCCAACAAACACTCCAGTCATTTTAAGGAGCTTTACAACTTCAGACTAGATAGATTGCAAACCTACTAATCTCATATACACTGTAAAAAGTGACAGAACATTGTATTTTATTAAATATTCATTATAATCCCTTAGACCGTCGAAAAAGCCTATAAATCTGTAGGAACTTATTTGTTTAATAGGGTGAATGAATAGGAACCTAGCACTTGAGGGAAATTAAGATAGCATTTTGGGACAAGTCGTAATTCTACGTACATTAACACTAAAGGATTGTATTGAAAATCAATTGGGCAGATTTTTGGAACACCAAATTTTAATAAAGTGTATATACAGTATTATAAGTCCATCATCATATGGAGAGAAAATAAATTTTTGATTTCTTTCGATAAAGGTTATTTTGTTTTTGATGCTCTGACAACTAAAACGATTGTCTTCAAAAGTACACAATGGCTGAGGTTGATTGCTGTCTATAGCCAACTTCGAAGATCCCTAACCCAAACTGTACCCCTAGAGCGACACGTAAAATCCCCTTGTGCCCTTCAAATTACAATTTTCGTGATCAGGACACGTATAAATTTTGCATGATTCAGCATTTATTGATACTGGATCAGGCTTAAAAGCTATAAAAGGAATTTCGTTCTTGGTATTTTTATAACTAAATATTGGGCTAGCCAGACAGGGACAATCAAATGAGTCTTTTACTTCTATGACATTAAAATACATTTTTTGCTCCTCTAATTCTATCTCCCAGCTACATAAATAATCTTACTGCAAACTGATTTCAGAGAAGTTAAATTTAAATGAAAGTGAGATCATCAAATTCAACATCACAACTATCGGTAAATACCTCCATCGAATGAAAATACAGAAATAAAATAAGTTATTACATTACGTAAATTGCATATTTCTCAGTTATAAAAAAGAAGAGTGTCACAAAAATTAAGGGAGTAATTCCAACTATAAACATGAAGAAATAATGAATCGATTAACAATTATCAAGCAATTCACCCATCTACAATATTTATAAACAAAAAATGTATTTTATATGTTACCAAAATGAATACAGAAAAAACTGCATCCTCATATGACAAAGTAGTCTTCTGGTCATTTCAGCATTCAACAAAAGGAATGTAAAATTGTCATGGTTCATCTAAGATATGGATTTACTCTCATGAAAATGACCCAACAAACACTCCACTCATTTTAAGGAGATTTACAACTTCAGACTAGATAGATTGCAAACGTACTAATCTCATATACATTGTAAAAGTTCCATACAAGTTTCTTAGCTAACAGAAAAATCTGTTCCAGTAACTAAATGACTATTGAAAACTTGAAAACACAAATGTTTGTATTGAATATTGTTAAGAATATACTTAAACTTTTTTATATACAACTACTGTTGTTTGGACTTTTGTGTAAATTTTTTCCTTAATTCAAGGAAACACAAATCCATTTCTTCTTTCCTCTATCTCGTTGTAAATTTTCTCAAACACGAAAGCTTTTTTAGCAACTAGTAGTTTAAAGCTTCAGTGTCAATTTCTATAGATGGTTTATTACCAAATGAAGATTGTCGTACATTATTCCAGAATTAACATATCAGGGCTTTTGTTTGAAATTGTATTGCTCGTTCATAAAAATGTTTTGCTTTTTCGTACTCTCCCATATCACTGTAAACCAAACCCAGATTGTTGTACGTTGTCGCGATATTAACATGGTCAGGTCCAAATGCTTTCGTTTGAATTTCCATCGCTTGTATGCAAAAATGTTTGGCTTTTTCGTACTCTCCTAATTTACTGTAAACAAAACCCAGATTGTTGTAAGTTGTCGCAATATTAACATGGTCAGGTCCAAATGCTTTTGTTTTAATTTCTATTGCTTGTTCGTAAATATCTTTTGCTTTTTCGTACTCTCCCATATCACTGTAAACCAAACCCAGATTGCTGTACGTTGTTGCGATATTAACATGGTCAGATCCAAATGCTTTCGTTTGAATTTCCATCGCTTGTATGCAAAAATGTTTGGCATTTTCGTACTCTCCTATTTTACTGTAAACCAAACCCAGATTGTTGTACGTTGTCGCAATATTAACATGGTCAGGTCCAAATGCTTTCGTTTGAATTTCCATCGTTCGTTCGCAAAAATCTTTTGCCTTTTCGTACTCTCCCATATCTTTGTGAACTAAAGCCAGTATGTTGTACGTTGTTGCGATATTAACATGGTCAGGTCCAAATGCTTTCTTGTGAATTTCCATCGCTTGTATGCAAAAATGTTTGGCATTTTCGTACTCTCCTATTTTACTGTAAACCAAACCCAGATTGTTGTACGTTGTCGCGATATTAACATGGTCAGGTCCAAATGCTTTCGTTTGAATTTCCATAGCTTGTATGCAAAAATGTTTGGCATTTTCGTACTATCCTATTTTACTGTAAACCAAACCCAGATTGTTGTACGTTGTCGCGATATTAACATGGTCAGGTCCAAATGCTTTCGTTTGAATTTCCATCGCTTGTATGCAAAATGTTTGGCTTTTCGTACTCTCCTATTTTACTGTAAACAAAACCCAGATTGTTGTACGTTGTCGCGATATTAACATGGTCAGGTCCAAATGCTTTTGTTTTAATTTCTTTTGCTTGTTCGTAAATATCTTTTGCTTTTTCGTACTTTCCCATATCACTGTAAACTAAACCCAGATTGTTGTAGGTTGTCGCGATATTAACATGGTCAGATCCGAATGCTTTCGTTTGAATTTCCATCGCTCGTATGAAAAAATGTTTGGCATTTTCGTACTATCCTATTTTACTGTAAACCAAACCTAGATTGTTGTACGTTGTCGCAATATTAACATGGTCAGGTCCAAATGCTTTCGTTTGAATTTCCATCGTTCGTTCGTAAAAATCTTTTGCCTTTTCGTACTCTCCCATATCTTTGTGAACTAAAGCCAGTATGTCGTACGTTGTTGCGATATTAACATGGTCAGGTCCAAATGCTTTCGTGTGAATTTCCATCGCTTGTATGCAAAAATGTTTGGCATTTTCGTACTCTCCTATTTTACTGTAAACCAAACCCAGATTGTTGTACGTTGTCGCGATATTAACATGGTCAGGTCCAAATGCTTTCGTTTGAATTTCCATAGCTTGTATGCAAAAATGTTTGGCTTTTTCGTACTCTCCTATTTTACTGTTAACAAAACCCAGATTGTTGTACGTTGTCGCGATATTAACATGGTCAGGTCCAAATGCTTTTGTTTTAATTTCTTTTGCTTGTTCGTAAATATCTTTTGCTTTTTCGTACTCTCCCATATCACTGTAAACTAAACCCAGATTGTTGTAGGTTGTCGCGATATTAACATGGTCAGATCCGAATGCTTTCGTTTGAATTTCCATCGCTCGTATGAAAAAATGTTTGGCATTTTCGTACTCTCCTATTTTACTGTAAACCAAACCTAGATTGTTGTACGTTGTCGCAATATTAACATGGTCAGGTCCAAATGCTTTCGTTTGAATTTCCATCGCTCGTTCGTAAAAATCTTTTGCCTTTTCGTACTCTCCCATATCTTTGTGAACTAAAGCCAGTATGTTGTACGTTGTCGCAATATTGACATGGTCAGGTCCAAATGCTTTTGTTTGAATTTCCATCGCTTGTATGCAAAAATGTTTGGCATTTTCGTACTCTCCTATATCAATGTAAACCCTTCCCAGAGTGTTGTACGTTGTCGCAACCTTAACATGGTCAGGTCCAAATGCTTTTGTTTTAATTTCTATTGCTTGTTCGCAAAAATCTTTTGCTTTTTTGTACTCTCCCATATCTTGGTAAACCAAACCCAGATTGTTGTAAGTTGTCGCAATATAAACATGGTCAGGTCCAAGTTCTTTTGTGTAAATTTCTATTGTTCGCTCGTAAAAATCTTTTGCTTCTTCGTACTCTCCCATATCTTGGTAAACCAAACCTAGATTATTGTAAGTTGTCGCAATATAAACATTGTCATATCCAAGTTCTTTTGTTTCAAGTTCCATTGCTCTTTCGTAAAAACCTTTTGCTTTTTCGTACTCTCCCATATCATGGTAAACTGAACCCAGATTGTGGTACATTGTCGCAACATTAAAAAAGTCAGGTCCAGGTGCTTTTGTTTGAATTTCCAACGCTTGTTCGAAAAAATCTTTTGCATTTTTGTACTCTCCCATATCTCCGTAAACCATAGCCAGATTATTGTACGTTGATGCAATGTTAACATGGTCAGGTCCAATTGCTTTTGTTTGAATTGTCATCGCTCGTTCATGAAAATCTTTTGCTTTTTCGTATTCTCCATTTTTCCGAAGCAACCAACCCAGCTTGTTGTACGAATATGAAACAACAACATGATTGACACCTAACACTCTTGTTTGAATTGTTATTATATCTTTAAGTACATTGATTGCCTGTTTATAGTTGCAAAATTTTTCTAATACATTTACAAAGTAATTGGCAATTTTCAAAATTTTTTTATCAAGTTTTTGTTTTCTATAGAAAAAAAATAACAATTTCTCCTTTATCAACTTATTTTTAAAGTGCTTAAATGACGAATGGTTTAAGAATTTAATAAGATGCGGAGTTATTTTGATTTCATCTTCTCTGTCTTTAAAGTGATAGAGTGCCCAAGCGACTTGACACGCAGGTAAAGACATCTTAGTCGAATTATTTGCTTTTTGTTTACTGCAAGTGGTCTGCCAAGTTTGATAATTTATGATGGCTTCATGTACAACGCGATGCAGGCGGATGTCGTTGTTTTCTGATTGAAGAATTAACGAACAATGCTTTAATTGAAGGCATATATCTTCTGCAGATATATGTGGATCAATGCTTTTAATAAATTGTATGATAATATCTTGTGGTAACGGATCGAATGATATTATCGAGAAAAGACTTAAAATTTTTTCCATTAATATGGATTCTTGAGTACTTTTTTCTACTGCCAACTCAATAGTTTTCAATGAAGTTGATTTACCTCTAGAATATGCTGTATCGATCTTTTGAAATGCGGCATCCATGCTCTGTCGCTCTCCTTCATTCAACTTATCGAAATATTGCTCCCACGTGAATTCCAGATTTGCACTATTTACACTACGTACGTAGTAAGCAGCACTTACCAGGACCAATGGTTGACGATCTAATTTTTCTGACAATTTCTTTAAAAACTCTTCATCATGATTATGAATATCGGTATAGACAGATAGAAGTTGACGACATTCTTTATCATTCATACCATGACTGACTGAAATGTGTTTGTTTTGATTTCCATCTAGTGGTATAGCATCTGTATTTTGGACAGTTACTATAATTTGTCCATTTTTCCAATTATGATCACCAACTTGAGGTAATAATGGATAAATTTTATCAAGTTCAACCACGTTATCTACAACAATCCACCATATTTTCCAAGATTTCAGATTTTGTGTCAGCAGGAAATGAAAGTGTTTGATTCTGTCTTCGCTGCTTTTTACCTTTTTAAAAACATTTTCAATAAAATGTTCATGGATGTTCAAACGTTGACAAAGGTCATTATAAGTTTTGAAGAGGGAGTCAGCATCTTTTCCTTCGAGTGTCATCACAAATGTAGTTTTATTTTCCCAGTCAACGGAGTTAAACATTTCGTCGCAAATTTGTCTGGCTAATTGAGATTTACCACTGCCAGGATTACCAGAAATATAGTAATATGTCAGTTCATTGTTGTTAGTACTTCGCAAGTTATTCAGATCTGCCGTGATTTTGTTAAGTAATTCTGTACGTTTAACTACATCGTGATTTGGTTTGCAAGGAAGTACTTGAAATGAATTAAATCTGTTTCGTTGACATTTAATTTCATTAATTTCAGTGAATGAAAATGTTAGATCTTTAAATGACTTTTCAATATCACCGACCATTTTGTGAAATTCGGTATCAGATACTTGACCTTTATTTACATGGGTGAATTTGTTTCTTACGTTGCGAATTTCATTTACTGCCTCTCTAACTTTTGGGTCAAGTTTAGTTCCAACTGAGTTGGAAAACAATATTGCTGCAAACAGTGTTGTACAATCCCACTTACTGGTGTCACCATCTTGAAAAGTTTGCAGAATATGTTTGTCATGAGGTTTCTTTTTTGTTTTTTCAATATTGAACAACTTTTGACCACTAATGTTTGTATTTTCCCATTGTCCAAGAGATTTTTTGTAATGTTTGTCCCATTCGTGGATAAATAAATCAGCAAGTTTCTTTTCAACAACATCGGTAAGTATTTTCTGCATGTAGTAGTTATTCCTTTCTTCTTTTGACTCCATCTACGTATCATAAAATGATCATAAGATGAGCACTAATTATTTATAAATACAATTTATGGACAACTGAAATAGTTGAAGATTGAGATGGAAATTTACAATTGTACATGAAATTGGTTAACCAATGTGGCAGCAGAAACTCAGAAAAATATTTTCATGCATTTAGATCTTTTTGTGGCAGTTGAGCAAGTTGTTGAAAACCTTCATCAAACAAAATTTTAAGTGTAGGAAAAGGCAATGCAAGCAGTTGGTCTATAGGTGTGTTTGCAAACCGATCTGAGCTCTACCAATTAAATCAATCAATCATCTTAAGGGATTTGCAGATCAATAAAATTCATGTTACTGGAAAAGTTAAAACGTTTCTTCTAATTTTCCTGTTTCGCATCATTGAATGCAGTACGTTTTTATAAAAAAAAAAAGTGTTTGCGCTGGTTTATGCCAAGTTTGGAGAAGTTGTGAGTTCTCCCAAAGGTCTCCATAGCACAAAGAATAAATGTGTAAAAAGCCACTATCTACATGCGATATAGGTCATTTTATTACTCCACACGTGTTATCATTAATAAATGTACTTTGTGTAACTCACCATAATAAGACACACGACCAGTTTATTGCTATGAAATATGTGTAAAGTAAGAATAACGTAATGCTACAGAAAACAATACCAGTTTATCCAAAACACTATCAACACACGAACATCAATTGAGTTTCATCATCCTAACCATTCCTGAATGCGTTTCAACAAAGACTTTTTATGTAAAGCTGACATAGACTGCGTATAGTCGATATAAAATAATTACGAAAATTTTTTATTCGTAATTATTCATTTCATATAGTTATCTAAAGCAAAACTTTATTGATAATGCAGTTGCACTATACACTATATGAGTGTAAAAATTTTGGTTACATTAAAAAAAATCAATATAATAATAGTATTTTACATTTATTTATATTTAGTTATGCCAAAGGTCTTTAAAATTCTGCTTGTTTTGTGTTGGCGATGTAGAATATGCATTTTCAACATGAGATTCGAATGATAAGTGACAAATGAATAAAAAAAGAAATATTTTTCACCTTCCATACAGAAAAACAGTAGGGATCAGAACATTTACAACTGTGTGACAAGTGACGTGTCACTATTTGATTAATCATGTTATTAATCTTATAGCTTTGCTATATTAATATAATTTGAGATAAACTATTCAAATAAATCGGAGAAGACTAGAAGTTTACATTACTAAATCGTTTTAAACTCAAATTTATTGCAAAATCCCATTAGAATCAACAAATGTTATCTATATAAAACATTTACGTAATGCGGAAATGACTTTATCGCAAAATTTTTCTTGACATAAAGAAATAATTGATAAATGGACATAAAATATTAAATCCCAAAATAAAAATACATTATTACATTGACGGATAAACTTTAAAATCAACTTACCTTCACAAATTGAGAAAGATTAAAAAATATGCAACCAACTACATGATGTCTTTGCTTTTGCTTGATAACAAAGAAATTGGAACGTTTAACAAAGGCTTAATTTTAATCACTATTTTTATTGTAAAATATTGAATTCTGTTCATAACAGCGAAACGATAAAATTAGCAATGCAAATTTCATAGCTAGATAGCTGACTTTGCGACACGATATGCATGTAGATAAAACTAGAAAATAGCCAACTGTTGAAAGTTTAATGCATGATCACTATTCAGGGCTCACAGGTGCATTATTGTGCAGGTTTGTGCTTAAGGAAGTTATTGTGCTTCTTGCGAAAACATTAATATATGCGTGTATCCGACAACATTTTACGTATGAATTAGCTTTACTATAACAATATTTAAATTCTAAATATTTGCTTCATCATGAATAGCTACATTAAAATATCTTATGCCAAGAAAACAATAAGAGAAAATGATCATATGCACTGTTGATGTGAACAAAATTTCATACGTTCACTCTGTACTCATTTTTAAAGTTTCTGTAATAAATTGTGTTAAGTTTTCAACTTGTTTTGTAAGTAATGCAAAGATATGACCATTAAGAACGAAGAATCGTCTGACAAAGACAAGAAAAAAGCAGCATGAAATAAACTGTTTTTTTGTTGTCTTGGGTGTGGTCTCAGCCAATAAGGCTGAACGTTATCTTGCTAAAAGAAAGGAGATCGTCCAGGGAGTAAGAAGATCTGCATGGCTCTGGACGACCAAGAAAAACAGAGAAAATTGGAAATAGCACAATTTAATTTGCATTCTGGCTTTGCCACCAACTGCTGGTGTAATGTATTCTCGATATTTTTCTTCAATACGATTCCTGTCAAGATGCTAAATCTTCAGTAAAAATAAACAACAAAGATCAGTGTATCTCAAACATTGGAAACTGGATAAGCAACGAGTACAATTTCGACAATTTGGCTCGCGTAAGTAAAAGTAATATCATCGAAATTGCAAAGTTTTTCATAATTTAGTGTTGACTCGATATAAACTGCTGCACATACACAAAAATATTCTCTGACCTGTCTTAACAAAGCTCTAATCTTTGTCAAAAAATAATCAAGATCAATGTGTGAAAAAAATTTACAAAGGTCTAATATTAGTTATTTATGTGTTAGGCTTACTTGGCTTAATATCAGGCTTGTCAGCTCATATTCTTCACTCGTGTTCAACACGCGTGTCGAGTGACACGCGTGTGTTTTTACACGATAATTGAAATTTGCACGGGCGGGTTTGAAAATAGCATTTTTACAATTAAACCTTGGGCAAAATTTTCTTTTGTTGTGGAGGTATTTTAGTTTTATCTTTTTGGACTTAAAATCTCAGTATTTATCTACTGTAATGAAATCTGAAATGGAGAAAGTTCTTTTGCTATGTCCTGAAGCTGACGCAGATTCAAGAGAGTTTGATAATGATTTAAATTCTACGACGGATGTCGAAGCAACTGTAAATAATGCGTTGAATGGGATGATAAGTTGTTTAGTTGATGCTCTTTTTCGAAAGTAAATAACCTAAATAAAAAAGAGTATTATTATTTATTGAGCTTGTTACTAAATCTTCATCGTTGCCGTCAAAATGAAATGTACCTCATCACGCTAGATAATAATGTATTGAACGACAATAAAATCAAAGATGGAGCTACACATCACACTAATGTAAAAAGAGGATTGTCAACAGAAACGGATTTAAATGAAGTCGATCGTGATTACCCAATTTTACCAAAGCCAAATTTGATATCAACTATCTATCGGTTTTCCTTTACATGTAATAAAATTTTGCCTTAATCAGAAGTTGGTTAAAGGAATAAAAACGGAAAAACTGTGATTTTGTAATACAAAAGTATAGTAAAGTGGGACCGATATCCCCATGAAGCCAGTAGCAAATGATCGATGAGAGATGCGTTATCCAGTGTTACATACATATCAGTGGTCAAGTCGACAGCGTATGCGGAAGCAGACTGCGCATGTGCAGATGATTTGTCTGAAAATTTGTAACTGATCGAGCTAAGTACTCTATATAAACGGTGTATGTTTTTAGCATGCTGTTTGTCTTCTTAAGCTTGTTTTGACAAATGTATAACAAACTCATCAACACTTTTTTACGCCACCCGTAATATCCGTGACAATGTTAGAGTTGTTTCAATTTTTCTCCGTAACTTTGTATCTGCATATTTTGTTCTTAAACGATGCTCTAATATTTATGACAGATATTATAATTCTTTGATTAAGCAAGAAGAAATAATTGAAAATGAGACTTCCAACAGTGAAACAAAATCAAGCATCGCTTTTCAATGGCGTTGTTTTATATTTTTGAAACTTTTCTCTGTCTTTGGATTCGTATTTTTGTCATCCTTGATTCATTTTTTACAGGACAATGTTCTCCTCGTTTCTGGTGGCGTTGACAAGAACATTAAGATTTGGGGTTTGGATTTTGGTGATTGTTATTCGACCATGATGACAGGTACGCACAATGTAATTTTAAATGACAGATACGCAATTTTATGATAGTAATATATGATAGCCTGAAACAGTCGATTATATCCCTACTATACACTCGTATCCTATGTACATTTTCATTATACCCTATTAAACCCTCTTACCCTGGTACATCATTGTTTCGTCATCACCATACTTCGTACGTCTCTGACATACTAGTAAACCACGTCATCAATTGTTTTATACGTAGATTTCCTGCATATTTTTTACCCACATGTTATCAACATTACACCCCACAATACTTACATGTACTTTCATTGTGTACCTTATATTCTCATGGTATCAACATTACACCTAGTAATACCTACATGTACTTTCATTGTATACCTTATATTCTCATGGTATCAACATTACACATAGTAATACCTACATGTATATTCGTTATTTATATTATAACAGCTTTAATCTTCTTTTAGTGTCATGTCCGTGCAGTTCGTGCGAAAAACTCATTATTTCTTCAGTGCAAGTAAAGATAAAACGATAACATATTGGGACGCTGAGAGATTTCTTCATGTTACGACCATAGAAGGTCATCATTCAGAAATATGGAGTCTTGCAATCAGCCATGACGGCGAGTTTGTTGTAAGTATCAAGTATGGAAGGTTTTAGATAATGTCGAGTTTGTTGTAAGTATCAAGTATGGAAGGTTTTAGATAATGTCGAGTTTGTTGTAAGTGTCAAGTATGGAAGGTTTTAGATAATGTCGAGTTTGTTGTAAGTGGTATGGAAGGTTTTAGATAATGTCGAGTTTGTTGTAAGTGTCAAGTATGGAAGGTTTTAGATAATGTCGAGTTTGTTGTAAGTGTCAAGTATGGAAGGTTTTAGATAATGTCGAGTTTGTTGTAAGTGTCAAGTATGGAAGGTTTTAGATAATGTTGAGTTTGTTGTAAGTGTCAAGTATGGAAGGTTTTAGATAATGTCGAGTTTGTTGTAAGTGTCAAGTATGGAAGGTTTTAGATAATGTCGAGTTTGTTGTAATCAAGTATGGAAGGTTTTAGATAATGTCGAGTTTGTTGTAAGTGTCAAGTATGGAAGGTTTTAGATAATGTCGAGTTTGTTGTAAGTGTCAAGTATGGAAGGTTTTAGATAATGTCGAGTTTGTTGTAAGTGTCAAGTGTGGAAGATTTTAGATAATGTCGAGTTTGTTGTAAGTGTCAAGTATGGAAGGTTTTAGATAATGTCGAGTTTGTTGTAAGTCAAGTATGGAAGGTTTTAGATAATGTCGAGTTTGTTGTAAGTGTCAAGTATGGAAGGTTTTAGATAATGTCGAGTTTGTTGTAAGTGTCAAGTGTGGAAGGTTTTAGATAATGTCGAGTTTGTTGTAAGTATCAAGTATGGAAGGTTTTAGATAATGTCGAGTTTTTTGTAAGTGTCAAGTATGGACGGTTTTAGATAATGTTAAACATAAGTTTGCTTGATATGAATGAAAGAATGAGCGAGAAACGTTTACTCAAAGATCAACCCTTATTCTTACTACTCCAGTTTCACATGCATTGTTTTATATCTTACAGATCAGTGGGTCACACGATAAATCGTTAAGACTCTGGGAACGAACGGACGAACCGTTGTTCGTGGAGGAGGAGAGAGAAATGGTACTATACATAGATCTGTGGCTGGAGCTGCAAAAATATGCATATCGTGCATGTACTTTCAATGTTTATTTAATTTTTCTATTTAGGAGAGGGAAGCAGCTTACGAAGAAAGCGCCGTAACAGGAGTTGAAACAATTGTAAGATTCTTTTTACTATGTAACATGAGATATGTATGTTCCATCTTGAGCCCAACTACTTTGTATTTGTTATATACTTTCACTATGGAAAATATCTTGTGGAAGTTGCATTTATTGCACTAAATAAATTCATTTTTTTAAAGCATGATGTTGTTTAGATTCCTGGTGAACAAGACACAGAAGCTGTTAAAGCTGGCAAGAAAACTGTCGAGACGATCAAAGGAGTTAGTTTTGTTGTTGTATTAGCATTGCAAGTTAATTTTATTGGTTTTGTGCCCAGTCCTCCTTGTAGTACCTGAAAGATATCTCAAAATTATACAGATATATCGAAAACTGTGAAGACATGTGAAGACTGTGCATATCTGAGGCCAAGTGTTTAAGCTTACATTGAGACGGGGTACTTGGAGGATATTATAGTAGAATATAGATACTTGGAGGATTATACAGTATGATTGGGATACTTGGAGGATATTACAGTATAATATATAATATATGCCTGGAGAGTAGTATGTTGATGTTTGTTCTCTTATCTCTTCTTTAGGCTGAAAGAATCATGGAGGCCATTGAATTGTATAAGGAAGAAAGACAGAAAGAACTTGAACATAAAGCGAGTCAAGTGACGAAAGACAAAACGGTAGGTTTGTTATTTTTTCTCTGCACATGTGCAAAATGTTTATTTTGTACGTATAGACAATCTTAAATCTTAAATGAGCAATTTTAAATAACCATGACCGGCAACATCACAAAACTTTCCTAGACTGAACACCCAAATTGGGAGAACGCCCTACACTGTTATTAAACCCTTCCTGTGAAACCACCACCAATATTCTCTTACTCTCTAATTCGGACCACGCCCTGCATCGTTATTTAACCCTACCCATGAAACCACCAATAAGATTTTCTTACTCTCTAATTGGGACAACGCCCTACACTGTTATTAAACTCTAGCAATGAAACCACCATTATTTTCATACTGTCTAATTGGGACCACGCTCTGCACTGACCTACCCATGAAACTACCACGAATATTTCCACACTCTCTAATTGGAACCACGCCCTTCACCCTTCACTATTGTCTGATTTATACAGAAAATCCCAGTTTCGTTTATTACACAAGTTCTTTTTGTTCTCACATACATTTTCTTTCCTTTGAACAGCTTCCAAAGCGCGTCATTCATCCGAATCTTGCTGCCTTTGGTAATGTCAGTGTAAGTTTACTATATCTTCAATGTTTCCATTTAAGAACAACATGAAGGCCACGTGATACAAGGTGAAAGCCACGTGCATGTTGAACATGATTAATGTAAATATTAATGTAATGGTAAGATTGCAAGATTTACATACGTACGTACGTAGATAAGGAAAAAATGGATGAGATGGCTTTACATTTATAACAACTTTAGGAAAAATTAGAGTTAAATATAAAATACATAGGATTTGTAATAATGAAATAAAATATCTTGACCACGAAGATGGAGGCCATAAATATTGTTGTTCTACAATGGAATGCCTGTCTATGTCAACCTCCTTTTCCCGGACCATATACTTACGACGTTTTTAAAATATTTTTTTCTTCTCACAGCCTGTACAGTATGTACTTCTAGTGGTGAAAAAAGTAAAGTCAAGGTAAGGTTGAAGTATTATAAAGAGCAACAAATTATCCCATGAAGAATCGTTTTTACTAGAAGTTAATTTAGAGCATTTAAAAGGTAAAGTATGGCAAAGTGTCTCGTTAGAGTTACTAGAAGAATTAAATATTAAGTGTTATTTGAATACAGTAGAGAGGTATCTTATGAAGCAAGTGTTTTCTACAATGCATTTAAATTATTTAATTTTAGTGAACTTGAAGAATCATTGCCTGTGTTACCGTTTGACTATGTTATTGATGTACTGAAACTTCTTCTTGAGTGGATTAAGGTAAAGTGAAATGTATTTTGACTCCTGTGTCCTTACTTCACATGGTACAGGTTTCGTTTTCAAATTTTGCTCATCCCAGATGTACGTGATTGTTTAGAATGGTTGGGAAACAGAGTTAAGTTGTCGATGTCTGTTCTTTCTGGTGCGGTAAGATTAAGACGTAATTTTATTTATGGTTTCGATCGATATTTTTTTCAATACGTCTGTCTTTAAATCATTCCCTAAGAATTTCATCACGTTCCTTCAGTATTGATGATATATGATGCAATTGGTGAGATACCTAGGTACAGTGCTGGATATTTTTCATTTTTTTCATATTGTGTTACGATAGAATACATCACAACAAGATCATATCCACTCCTGAACTACTGCCAGTAATAGACTCTATCAGATCACATTGTCGTAGCCGAGTTCGCGAAATGAAGGTAGGAAGTTGTACTTTCAATAAACCGCAAGTATCGCCAAATTTCTCTCGTAATTTTACCATGTGCTATACGACCGTTAATTTATTCGTGGTAAATTTTGTCGACACTTTAATGACTGTAAACTTAACACGAAAAAGTCGTCAATTTTGAGTGGTTAAGAGCATATAAGGCTTTCTTTCACATTACAGTGCCAATCTTAATACTGAGTTTGGCTTGGTATTAAAAAGGTTCATAGAATATTCATTTGTGTATTAACGACAGAAAAAAGTATGTATTTAGAAACAAAAATATTCAAGAGTATGAAGATTTCTTTTTTCTCTAGTTCTTTGAATTTTGTTAAATTAATCGTCTTGAGTTTTTGAATTGTGTACTTCAAACTGCCACAGATGACTTTTCAAATTATATGAACTGAACAAATTTTCTTGAATATTTACATCGACTTCGATAAAACTATTGCACACTTGTAATGATTGCTTTATCTTTAGGATACTGTTGGATTTAATTTGGCGGGACTACTGTTTATTCAAAGACAGCTTGAGAATCGTGACGTCACATTCTTTGGCGAAACACGCGAAAGACTGGGACAAATACGAAAAAAGAAGAAGACGATTGTGAGGAAATTTCGATGAAGGTTGTTTTGTTTTTGATACTCTGACAACTAAAATGATTGTCTTCGAAAATACAAAATGACTGAGGTGTATTGCTGTCTATAGCCATCCTCGAAGATCCCTAACCCAAACTGTACCCCTAGAGGGACACGTAAAATCCCCGTGTGCCCTTTAACATACAATTTTCGTGATCAGCAGACGTTTAAATTTTGCATGATTCAGCAGTTATTGATACTGGATCAGGCCTCAAAGCTTTTGAAAGGAATTTCGTTTTTGGTATTTTTATAACTAAATATTGGGCTAGCCAAACATGGACAATCGGAGTCTTTTACTTCTATGACATCGAAATAAATTTTTTGTGCATCTAATCCTGTAAATTGCATATTTCCAAGTTATAAAAAAGAAGAGTGTCACAAAAATTAAAGAAGTAATTCCAAAAATAAACAGGAAAAAATAATGAATCGATTAACAATCATCAAGCAATTCACCCATCTACAATATTTATAAAACAAAAAATGTATTTTATGAGTTACCAAAATGAATACAGAAAAAACTGCATCCTCATATGGCAAAGTAGTCTTCTTGTCATTTTAGCATTCAACTAAAGGGATGTTAAAGTGTCATGGTTCCCCTGAGATATGGATTTACTCTCATGAAAATGACCCAACAAACACTCCACACATTTTAAGGAGCTTTACAATTTCAGACTAGATAGATGGCAAATCTCATACACATTGTAAAAGTTCCATACAAGTTTCTTAGCTAACAGAAAAAACTGCTCCAGAAAATAAATGACAATTCAAAACTTGAAAATATAAATGTTTGTATTGAATATTATCAAGAATATGTTTAAACTTTATTTATATACAATTGTTGTTGATTGGACTTTAGTGTAAATTTTTTCCTTAATTCACGGAACCACAAATCCATTTTATCTTTTTTCTATCTCGTAAATTTTCTCAAACACGGAAGCTTTTTTAGCGACTAGCATTATAAGGCTTTAGTGTTAATTTCTATAGATAAATTAGTACCTAATGAAGATTGTCGTACATTATTCCAGTATTGACATATCTTATGTTTTAATTTTATTGCTTGTTCATTGAAATCTTTTACTTTTTCGTACGCTCCCATAACACTGTAAATCAAACTCAGATAGTTGTAGTTTGTTGCAATATTAACATGGTCAGGTCCAATTGCTTTCTTTTGAATTTCCATCGCTTGTATGCAAAAATGTTTGGCTTTTTCGTACTCTCCTATTTTACTGTAAACAAAACCCAGATTGTTGTATATTGTCGCAATATTAACATGGTCAGGTCCAAAAGCTTTAGTTTGAATTTCCATCGCTTGTAGGCAAAAATGTTTGGTTTTTCGTACTCTCCTATTTTATTGTAAATATACCCAGATTGTTGTAAGTTGTCGCAATATTAACATTGTCAGGTCCAGATGCTTTGGTTTTAATTTCTATTGATTGTTTGTAAAAATCTTTTGCTTTTTCGTACTCTCCCATATTTTTGTAAACCAAACCCAGATTGCAGTACGTTGTCGCGATATTAACATGGTCAGGTCCAAATGCTTTCGTTTGAATTTTCATCGCTCTTTCATAAAAATGTTTTGCTTTTTCGTACTCTCCCATATCTTTGTGAACCAAACCTAGATTGTTGTAAGTTGTCGCGATATTAACATGGTCAGGTCCAAATGCTCTCGTTTGAATTTCCATCGCTCGTATGCAAAAATGTTTGGCTTTTTCGTACTCTCCTATTTTACTGTTAACAAAACCCAGATTGTTGTAGGTTGTCGCGATATTAACATGGTCAGATCCAAATGCTTTCGTTTGAATTTCCATTGCTCGTATGCAAAAATGTTTGGCATTTTCGTGCTCTCCTATCTTACTGTAAACAAAACCCAGATTGTTGTAGGTTTTTGCGATATTAACATGGTCAGGTCTAAATGCTTTCGTTTGAATTTCAATCGCTTGTATGCAAAAGTGTTTGGCTTTTTCGTACTCTCCTATTTTGCTGTAAACAAAACCTAGATTATTGTATATTTTTGCGATATTAACATGGTCAGGTCCAAATGCTTTCTTTTGAATTTCCATCGCTCGTTCATAAAAATATTCTGCTTTTTCGTACTCTCCCATATCTTTGTGAACCAAACCCAGATTGTTGTAAGTGGTCGCTATATTAACATGGTCATGTCCAAATGCTTTTGTTTGAATTTCCATCGCTCGTATACAAAAATTTTTGGCTTTTTTGTACTCTCCTATTTTACCGCAAACCAAACCCAGATTGCTGTACGTTGTCGCTATATTAACATGGTCAGGTCCATATGCTTTGGTTTGAATTTCCATCGCTCGTATGCAAAAATGTTTGGCATTTTCATACTCTCCTATTTTGCTGTAAACAAAACCTAGATTGTTGTAAGTTCTCGCGACATTAACATGGTCAGGTCCAAATGCTTGGATGTAAATTGTTATTGTTCGTTCGTAAAAATGTTTTGCTTTATCGTACTCTCCCATATTATCGTAAACCAAACCCAGATTGTTGTACATTGTCGCAGTATTAACATGGTCAGGTCCAAATGCTTTCGTTTGAATTTCCATCCCTCGTTCAAAAAAATCTTTGGCTCTGTTGTACTCTCCCATATCGTTGTGAACTAAACCCAGATTGCAGTACAGTGTCGCAATATTAACATGGTCAGGTCCAAATGCTTTCGTTTCAATTTCCATCGCTCGTTCATAAAAATCTTTGGCTTTTTTGTACTCTCCCATATCGTTGTGAACTAAACCCAGATTGCAGTACAGTGTCGCAATATTAACATGGTCAGGTCCAAATGCTTTCGTTTTAATTTCCATCGCTTGTTCATAAAAAGCTTTGGCTTTTTTGTACTCTCCCATATCGTTGTGAACTAAACCCAGATTGCACGTTGTCGCAATATTAACATGGTCAGGTCCAAATGCATTTGTTTCAATTTCCATCGCTTGTTCATAAAAATCTTTGGCTTTTTTGTACTCTCCCATATCGTTGTGAACTACACCCAGATTGTTGTACAGTGTTGCAATATGAACATGGTCAGGTCCAAATGCTTTCGTTTGAATTTCCATTGCTCGTTCGTAAAAATCTTTTGCTTTTTCGTACTCTCCCATATTATTGTAAACCGATCCCATATTGTTGTACGTTGCCGCAATGTAAACATGGTCAGGTCCAAATGCTTTTGTGTAAATTTCTATCGCTCGTTCGTAAAAACTTTTTGCTTTTTCGTACTCTCCCATATCGTTGTGAACTAAAGCCAGATCGTTGTACGTTGTCGAAATCTTAACATGGTCAGGTCCAAATGCTTTCGTTTCAATTTCTATCGCTCGTTCACAAAAATCTTTTGCTTTTTCGTACTCTCCCATATATTTGTACACCGAACCCAAATTGATGTACGTTGTCGCAACATTAGCATGGTCAGGTCCAAATGCTTTTGTTTCAATTTCCATTGCTCGTTCGTAAAAATTTTTTGCTTTTTCGTACTCTCCCATATCACTGTTAACCCTACCCAGATTGTTGTATGTTGCCGCAATATTAATATTGTCAGGTCCGAATGCTTTTGTTTGAATTTCTATCGCTCGTTTACAAAAATCTTTTGCTTTTTTGTATTCTCCATTATGCTGAAGCAACCAACCCAGCTCGTTGTACGAATATGAAACATCAACATGATTGACACCTAACGCTCTAGTTTGAATTGTTATTATATCCTTAAGTACATTGATGGCCTGTTTAAAGTAGCAAAATTTTTCTAATACATTTACAAAGTAATTGGCAATTTTTAAATTTTTTTCATCAAGTTTTTGTTTTCTATAGAAAAAAAATAACGATTTCTCGTTTATCAACTTATTTTGAAAGTGCTTAAATGACGAACTGTTTAAGAATTTTATAAGATGAGGAATTATTTTGATTTGATCTTCTCTGTCTTTAAAATGATAGAGTGCCCAAGCAACTTGACAAGAAAGTAGAGACATCTTAGTCGAATTATTTGCTTTTTGTGTACTGCAAGAGGTCTGCCAAAATTGATAATTTATGATGGCTTCATGTACAACACGATGCAGGCGGATGTCGTTGTTTTCCGATTGAAGAATTAACGAACAATGCTTTAATTGAAGGCATATATCTTCTGCAGATATATGTGGATCAATGCTTTTAATAAATTGTATGATAATATCTTGTGGTAACGGGTCGAATGATATTATCGAGAAAAGACCAAAAACTTTTTCTAATAATGTGGATTCTTGAGTACTTTTCTGTACTGCCAACTCAACAGTTTTCAATAAAGTTGATTTACCTCCAGAATATGCTGTATTGATCTTTTGAAATGTGGCATCCATGCTCTGTCGCTCTCCTTCAGTCAACTTATTGAAATATTGCTCCCACGTGAATTCCAGATTTGCACTTTTTACACTACCTACGTAGTAAGCAGCACTTGCCAGGACCAATGGTTGACGATCTAATTTTTCTGACAAATTCTTCAAAAACTCTTCATTATGATTATGAATATCGGTATAGACAGATAGAAGTTGACGACATTCTTTATCATTCATACCATGACTGATTGAAATGTGTTTGTTTATATTTCCATCTGGTGGTATAGCATTTGTATTTTGAACAGTTACTATAATTTGTCCATTTTTCCAATTATGATCACCAACTTGGGGTAATAATGGATAAATTTTATCAAGTTCAACCACGTTATCTACAACAATCCACCATATTTTCCAAGATTTCAGTTTTTGTGTCAGCAGGAAATGAAAGTGTTTGATTCTGTCTTCGCTGCTTTTTACCTTTTTTAAAATATTTTCAATAAAATGTTCATGGATGTTCAAACGTTGACAAAGGTCATTATAAGTTTTGAAGAGAGAGTCAGCATCTTTTCCTTCGAGTGTCATCACAAATGTAGTTTTATTTTCCCAGTCAACGGAGTTAAACATTTCGTCGCAAATTTGTCTGGCTAATTGAGATTTACCACTGCCAGGATTACCAGAAATATAGTAATATGTCAGTTCATTGTTGTTAGTACTTCGCAAGTTATTCAGATCTGCCGTGATTTTGTTAAGTAATTCTGTACGTTTAACTACATCGTGATTTGGTTTGCAAGGAAGTACTTGAAATGAATTAAATTTGTTTCGTTGACATTTAATTTCATTAATTTCAGTGAATGAAAATCCTAGATCTTTAAATGACTTTTCAATGTCACCGACCATTTTGTGAAATTCGGTATCAGATACTTTACCTTTATTTACATGGGTGAATTTGTTTCTTACGTTGCGAATTTCATTTACTGCCTCTCTAACTTTTGGGTCAAGTTTTGTTCCAACTGAGTTGGAAAACAATATTGCTGCGAACAGTGTTGTACAATCCCACTTACTGGTGTCACCTTCTTGAAAAGTTTGCAGAATATGTTTGTCATGAGGTTTCTTTTTTGTTTTTTCAATATTGAACAACTCTTGACCACTAACGTTTGTATTTTCCCATCGTCCAAGAGATTTTTTGCATTGTTTGTCCCATTCTTGGATAAATAAATCAGCAAGTTTCTTTTCAACGACATTTGTAAGTATTTCTTGTATAAAGTAGTTATTCCTTTTTTCTCTTGACTCCATCTACGGATCATAAAATGATCATAAGTTGAGCACTAATTATTTATAAATACAATTTATGGAGAACTGAAATAGTTGAATCTTTTATAAAGCAACTAATTACATGCGATGCAGGTTATTTTATTACTCCACAGATGTTATCATTAATGAAAGTACTTTCAGTAACTCACCATAATAAGACACACGACCAGTTAATGGAAATTCAAGTTAGAGGAAAAGTTAAAACGTTTTTCTTTAATTTGCCTGTTTCGCATCATTGCATGCAGTACGTTTTCATAAAAAAAAAACACAAATGTGTTTGCGCTGGCTTATGCCAAGTTTGGAGAAGTTGTGAGTTCTCCCAAAGGTCTCCATAGTGCAAACAGTAAATGTTTAAAAGCTTTTATAAATTAACTATCTACATGCCATGTAGGTCATTTTATTACTCCACAGATGTTATCATTAATAAATGTACTTTGTGTAACTCACCATAATAAGACACACGACCAGTTTATTACTATGAAATATGTGTAAAGTAAGAATAACGTAATATTAAAGAAAACATGACCAGTTTATCCACAACACTATCAACACATGAACATCAACTGAGTTGCATCATCGTAACCATTCCTGAATGCGTTATGTAAAGCTGACACAGACTGCCTATAATCGGTATAAAATAATTACGAATATTTGCTGCAGTAATCATTCCATATAGTTATCTAAAGCAAAACTTTATCGATAATGCAGTTGCACAATACACTAAATGGGTGTAAAAATTTTGGTTATATTAAAAAAAATCAATATAGTATTTTGCATTGATTTATATTTAGTTGTGCCATAGGTCTTTTAAACCTGGCTTGTTTTCTGTTGACGATGGAGAATATGAATCTTCAACATGAGATTTTAATGAGAAGTGACAAAGGAATAAAAAAAGAAACTTTTTTCACCTTCCATACTGAAAAACAGTAGAGATCAGAACATTTAACACTGTGTGACAAGTGGCGTCTCACTATTTGACTAAACATGTTATTAAACTTATAGCTTTGCTATATGAATATAATTCGAGATAAACTATTGAAATAAATCGGAAAAGATCAAAAGTTTCCATTACTAAGTCGTTGCGAACTCAAATTTATTGTAAAATCCATTAGAATCAACAAATGTTATCCATATTAAACATTTACGTAACGCGGAAATGACTTTATCACAGATTTTTCTTGACATAAACAAATAATTGATAAATGGACATAAAATATTAAATCCCAAAATTAAAATACATTCTTATAATGACAGGTAAACTTTAAAATCAACATACCTTTAAAAAGACGCAACCAACTACATAATGTCTTTGCTTTGGCTTGATAATAAAGAAATTGGAATGTTCACTAAATGTTCAAATTAAATCACCTGCTGTTTTTATTGTAAAAAATTGAATTCTTTTCATAGCAGTGAAACGATAAAATTGGCAATGCAAATTTTATAGCTAGATAGCTGACTTTGCGACACTATATGCATGTAGATAAAACTTGGTATCAAACCATTTTGTTCAATGGCTATAAAATGATAAAGTAAATAAGCTAGCTTACAGACAATGACCATTAAGATGAAGATAACTGGAACACTACCTTCTGATTGTTTTGATGAAGCCAAAATTTGCGAGACTGTGGGCACGCGTGTAATGTTAGGGTAAATAAGATAACGTTCCATTGAGAGATTTTGATCTTATTTGTCATGCCTTTCAAAAGATATTTTGTGATTTTACTATGATAAATTCTTAAACAATTAAGTTCAAGAAAAATTCTGAAAAAAGAGCTCAAAACAAGATTTAATATTAACGTTAAGGGAAAATTATTGGAGTTAGAAATTTAGGTTTGTTTAATTAGTTACTGGTTAAAAGCAGAGTTTATGGAGGTGATAGGAATTTGGTTATGCGGTAGAGCAATTAAGTTGTTATGATCAAAAATAAGTTTGTAGAAATTTAAAATCAAGTTTTTAAGCATGAATTACAGTTATGACTTTGTATTGTAAAGATATCTAATATAAGGAATAGGATAGTGAGGCTTAATTAGCAGTTAAGAAAAGTTATTCATGGTGATGGTCATGGTGATCATCTGCTGGTGTTGGTCTAAGTTATGGTGTTGTGGTTGTCTTAGTCCTTTTATTTGTCTTAATACAAGTTTTTGTTTTAAGGTTGTAGTGGTAGTGTTGCTGTTATTAGAGTTAATCTTGGTGTAGTGTTAGTTTTAGTGATAGTGATAGTGTTGGTATGGTGATAGTTTTGGTCTTGGTGTTAGAGTAAGTGATGGTCTCTATTTTAGACTTAGTGCATATGTTCTAGTTTAATTTATGCTTGTTTTGATAGAAATGAAGGGAGGAGGGGGGTGAGGGGGAGGGAGAATAGTGGCGGATCCAGACTACATCAAATAAATTACTGCAGCCCATTTTGCGTAAATTTACATTCCTAAACACGTTAGAGGCTAATCCATTGATAAAATTATATTCTTTAGAAATTAAAAACCAATAGTGTTTTTCTAAATGTAATTTGAATTTATAATTGAGGATCTATAATTTATATTGATCTACCCTGTATCCACCAGTCGGGGGGGGGTGGAGTACATTGATGATTGTACTGTATTTTTAACAACAATGATTCATGGGAATGGAGAGAAGTATATCGTCTTTGCCTGTCTTTTTATTTTCTTTTTTCCTTTTCCTTGTCTCTTCTCTACTTTCCCTTGCTTCCCTTTCCAATTTTCTCTAGGTTTTCTTGTACGAACAGATCATTATTAAATTGGTAGAAACACCAATGTAGCGCTGTTGCGTTTATCAAGTATAAAACTATAAATACTGTATTTGTAGTTAGTCTTGAATATAGTTTGATAATGTGCAAGGATCGTCGTTTGTTGTAGATAAAAAATTATTTTATGCATTTGTTTTAGACATTTGGACAACAAATTTAAAACAGATGAACTTGGTTTCGCAGAAATGAAATGGACGTCAAAATCAAATAATTTACAAAGAAGTTATAGAAATCAAGCTATAAAATGGATGAAAGAAAAAATAGGAATTGTTGATTTGAAAGTTTATGTAAATAAACAAGGGGGAGATGGGAGGAGACGGAGGAAATTTATAAAAAATGAAACTTTTCTGCAAATATTAACACTGCATGAGTACAAAATAATTAAATTAATGTATAAAAATCTATTAGAATGGTCATTGTTCTTTATTTTTTAATACTAAATATAATCATTTTAATTCCTTTACATTAAATAGATCTGCAAAAAAAATTTGAAATTTCAGTTGAACTTTGCTTGCTCTAAGAGCTCCGAGAATTTTGAATGAGGACTCATGGACCAATGAAAACACAAATGATACCAAACATTTTATCGACGATAAAAGCTCTAACGTGGACGAGGTTCCAATACAAAAACAACCATTAAACTCACCGTGTGTTCTGAAGATAGATTCAAAAGAAATATCGATGAATCACATATACAGTTTGGAAGCTCGTTGGCTCACGTGGTATATAGTAGTGGAAACTGTTCATCATGTTGATAAAGATATGTAAAAATAACTACCAGCGTCTTTTCTTTTAGGACGAGGAATCTGATCACGAAATTGAACAGGAAACAATCAGTACAAGAGATTTGCTAGAAGATTCAAAGTGCACTGTAATGTTTTTATATACTTTCACCAGTAGTTTATATTTGATTAGAACTAGTTTTTCGAATTGATAAACTGTAAAATTTGTTTCCAAAAAAGATTTTTGTGCGTCTGCTATGAAACGATGTTTACCTATAATCATTAAAAATTTAGAAAGATCGTGAAACTACAAGTTTTTTAGGCCTTTTCTACTAAAACTTTCTTTCTTTTAATATACTTAAACATCTTACAATGTCAAATTTTACGTTTATTGGAAATAATGTCATAATACAACGATTTTTATGAAAACGAGTCTTAAAGCTTGAACATGAGGCTGAAATCGTCGGAAATTGCCCGTATAACATCGATTTTTCAAATCAGCGCACCAATATTGACCAAAAGAAGCTGGTCGTGATCTGGTCTGGTAAATTCCCCACTGTGGGACATACCATTGGACGATATCATTGAACGACACCCCCCTTTCTCCGACTGGTCTATATTGGAGGAAATCTGACGACATAAATCCCTACGTGGAATCGGGTGGAAGACAATTCGTTGTAATTCAAGATGAATTTCCAAAATTTAAGACTTGTCTTTTTGCTTTAAAATGGTCTTAACAAAATCTTATCTGCGTTACGTCGAAGCTGGAATCGTTGGCGTAGTGGGAAGTGCTAGAGCTAATGTGTGTCTTGTTCAAAGTGGCGAGAAAAGACGTGAAATTTGCCGCGCGATTGTTCCCGCACTAGAAAATGTATATATTTGGGACGCTAGACTTGGCGAAAAAGTATTTAAAGAGAATTGTTGAAACCTTTAAACAATGTTAGATTTTCCACTATTTAAAAATTGTTTTTATGATATGCTTATCTAAATGTCTAGGTGAATGTCTTTCAAGGTAACAAGAGCGAAGTGACATGTCTCTGCCTCAGTCCTGACTCTGAACATCTTGCTGTTGGTGAGTAAAACAACTTATCTAATTAAACAATATAGCATTTCATTATATCTTGTAAATGATGCCGGATACTTACTTCATTGTGGCTAATGAACACTTTCAACAGTAAAAGGTATGGTTGTAAGAAACACAAGGTCAGACAGGGGAAGGGGCTCACCCCTCTGCTTATAAAATGCAGATCCTGGGCCTCCTAACTTATAATAGCCAGAAACTACCCTTCCCCCTTGTATTCTGAAAGAGTTTGATATCCAGAAAAAAAATGTTGGTCAACCAGTACAGTATGTAATGTTAACAAAAATGAAAATCATTGGTGTACATTCCCCATGAGTCCCAAACTATTTTAATTTCTACATTTTTGTTAGACTAGATAAATTATATCCCTTTGACAACAGGTAATAAAATTTGCCAATATAAAATAATTTTCTTTGCTTTTGAAAACTGAACAGCTTTTTATCTTAATGTATGTAATAAATTTGCATCTGCTTACAGGGAGAAGAATGTAAAGCTTAACCTGCATCCATGCACCTCCACCTACATCCATGCACCTTCACCTGTAGTTTATTTTTAAATTTTAGGTATGGCGATGGTGTCATCAGAATTTGGAATATAAATAATGGTACATCCTCAGTGACATTTAGGTACATTTCCTGTCATGGAATATATTTTTCAATTTGGTCTATGCTCAACCATTTGTTTACCATCGGTACTTCTGATTTCCAATTACTAAACGGTCCAGAACTCATTTCAAAAATTTTTCAGTAAACAAACAGTTAATATAACTCATATGACAAAAAAAATATTTAAAATTTATTTTCTTGTAAGGTTTATCGTACAGTTGCTGCAATTGTTCAGCACGTTTTTGACTGGTAGGTTTGCTTCCCTACACTGCTTGGCAACATGGCCCAATCTTTTGCATATGTAGCAACGTCTTCCTGTTAAATATTCATAAGGAAGTTGTAGTTCATAACACTTTTTATTTGTTTGTGTCATTAGCTTATTTCTGTTAACAATAATGCATGCAACTTGAAGTTTTCAACCATCTAATCACGCTGATGTTTTATCACTTGGTCAATCAAACTTACTTCTTCTCATACCATTAAACTCTATACAAAAAAAAGTATATAATTGTCGATTACAATTGCCATGAAAGAAATGTTATTTCATTTTTTGTCATTACTTTTCTCGCATTCATTCATTTTGTGGCCTTTATGGCCACAATTATTGCATCTTCCTTCATTGAAAAAAACAATGGCAATTATCAGCCTGGCATCAAAGGCAATTAGTACATGTATACACTATACCGCACCTTTAAATGAATTTTTTGCTTTGACATTGCTTTCTACATAAACAAATCGTTTGTTAGGTGCTGTTTGATTTGTTATGTGTATGATTAAATTTCAGGTTAAAAGACTTATGGTGAAAAGACTCATGGTGAAAAGATTCAGGTGAAAAGATTCAGGTGAAAAGATTCAGGTGTAAAGGCTCAGGTGAAAAGACAAAAGTACAAAAGTATCATGAGAGAGCTGATGGGCATATATCATATATCAATGAGAACAGTATTGTATACAAAGCACTGTTTACCTTCTTTATTTTTTTGGTTTTCAGAATTGGAGCCACCTCAAATAGTAGTAGATTTTTAGCACATTTTGATGCATTGATGTATTGTGTAATAATGCAAAAACAATCATTAAACAGTATAACAATTTTTGGCTAAATACACACTTGCATTTTCGTTATCTTTCTCTTCAGTTCCCTGACCTGTTTTGAATGCAATTAAACTATTTGAGTGATTTTCAGTTTTCAAAACAAAAACAAATTTTATACACATTTGATACCAGTGTCCATTGCTTTTTCCTCATCTGTGTAATCTAGCATCTGGTGTTTTTGTATGCAAAAAACGATAAAGTGTAAATAGATATTTTGCAAGAAGGGATTTAAACCATGTAAATGAAATAATTTCATGAATAGAACTTTAATTTCATGAATAGAACTTTCATTTCAGGCAAAAAGATCGAAGACTTCTGGGGACCTTCCAAGACGATTCTTGGTGACATGAGCTTCCTAAAAAGTCTACACACTTACGATAAGGTGATCTCACTTTTTTCTAATGATGTTATCTTTGCTTACTCTTTCTGAGAGATTTCAAACCCGAAAATATCCCATAGGATAACATTGCACCAAGCATTGTGAAAACCATCCGTCAGAAGTACACCTCGAATCCGGAATTCGATCCCGATAAGATCAAGACTGCGTCCACTGCTGCCGAAGGCTTGTGTAAATGGTCATTGCGATGGATCAATATGATAAGTAAATGAAGTATTTACTTGTTATTCAATGTTCATTATAAAATAAAATCAATGCAACGCATGCGCTGATTGCATAAGCATGTGAGCTCCGTTCAATCTGAGCTCAATCAATCAAATCAATCAAAGAGAATTTTGCAAATGGACCATGAATACATGTTGCAGAGAAAATTTAAGCGTTTGTTTTTAAGTTGTTTGTTTTGCATTGTTGTTATTTTATAGAAAAAAATCAAAAATTTTGTTTTGTTAGCGCTGGCTTATGCAAACCTTTGAGATGTTTGTGAGAGCTCTAAAGTTGGTGCGTATTAGTTTACATAAGATACATTGCAGTACATCACTGTACATCATTTTACATGAGGATACATCACAGTGCATCAATGTACATCAGTTTACATAAGGATACATCACAATGCACCACTGTACATCAGTGCTTCATCTAGATCTGCTCTCGAGTTCTACCAATGGTCTCCTCAGTTTGCATATGCCTTTGCAAACACAGTAAACATCTTTTATTTTTTAATTACATTCAATTCACCGTGATTCACTGTCTATTATAAGTTAAACGCGGGAAAGAAGGCTGTTCTTATGGGTAGAGGTACTATGAGGAAGAAGTGGGGATAAAGTTTGAGAAGAAAGGTGTGAACGGGGGAATGAGGGATGGAGAGTTCTCAAATGTTCAAATGTTCTCATTTCTCGAACGTGTTGTGAGGTTAACAGCGTACAGGAGGATTTTTCGTTTCACAAGAAGTTGATTTTCTGTTTTTATTTAGGGTTGCCCGAGTGGTAGCTCCAAAGAAGGAAGCTTTGGCTGCTGCTGAGGCTGAGTTAGCTGTGGCTATGGAGGTAGGATATGAGGGCAAATAAAAGTTGTGTACAAGTATTTCAATTCATCAAGTCAATTCAGAGTTACTTTCAAATTGACTGTGTTGTTTGGGCATCAGTTTTTATTACACAAGGACACATTTGGATCAACATGCAGGGTCTTCGTAAGGAAGAACGTTTAATCGTTCCTTGAAAAGTTCCGGAATCGCTTTGACCAAGTCTCAAATCCCTTTGACCAAACCTCAAATCGGCTTGACCAAATTATCAGTTTCGCCCAATCTTTTATCGCTTCGACCAAACTGTACATCGATTTATCAAAATCCTAAGTGGTTTAAGCAAATTCTAGTTCGGTTTGATGTTGAATTTTATCACAAGGTTGACGTTAAAAAATTGAGGATTCTTCGCATCGGGAGACCTTTATTATTCGATGTTCGCGACGTGTTAATCTGAAGGAGGTCATCACTAGAAAGGCTGTAAACGTTCGTCGTCCTCTACTAGGGTTTGGAGAAGAAGCGGTCTGCGCTTCGTGAAGTCCAGGCTAAACTCGCGAGATTGCAGGAGAAATTTGAAGCAAACGTGAAAAGAAAAGGAGAACTAGAACAACAGGTTCTGGTTTAATCGATTGAACAACTGTGAGGTCTGTAATCGATTGATTATTAATCTCATTCGCCGTACTTCTTTTGTGGCAAACTGAAATTGAATTATATTCGCTTTTGTGTATTTCAACTATGGCATTTGTTGATGTATATCGTACTTAAAGGCACCTAATTTAAACTCAGTCTGTTGAGGGTTAAATGGGTTTTGGTATCAATCTTTAATTGTTTTGGCGGATTTAAGAATAAAAAAATATGATAAAAATTATGTTAGAAGTTAAAAGATCCCGTTTATGCACACATAAGAAAGCATGCTACTTCTAATGTTTGCCATCGAGAGAAAATGTTTGCATATCATCATGACTCCTTTGAGTGTTGTACAAGTGTCACTTCAAAAAACTGAATTTCAATATCTGATAATGAGAGGATTTAATTAATTACACATTTTAACATCGAAAAAAATCGTTTTAACCGTGCATTAATAGAGAGACTATAATAACAGATTGTTTCTCAGCAGCGATCTCTATCAAGGAAGACAAAAATTTTTTTCTTTATTGTTCGATTTTTTTTAGTCACTTATTTGTTTTTCATGATTTTTTTTAGTCACTTATTTGTTTTTCATTTTTTTATTTAAATGGGTTTTGGTATCAATCTTTAATTGTTTTGGCGGATTTAAGAATAAAAAAATATGATAAAACTTATGTTAGAAGTTAAAAGATCCCGTTTATGCACACATAAGAAAACATGCTACTTCTAATGTTTGCCATCGAGAGAAAATGTTTGCATATCATCATGACTCCTTTGAGTGTTGTACAAGTGTCACTTCAAAAAACTGAATTTCAATATCTGATAATGAGAGGATTTAATTAATTACACATTTTAACATCGAAAAAAATCGTTTTAACCGTGCATTAATAGAGAGACTATAATAACAGATTGTTTCTCAGCAGCGATCTCTATCAAGGAAGACAAAAATTTTTTTCTTTATTGTTCGATTTTTTTTAGTCACTTATTTGTTTTTCATGACTGGAGAACAAAATCGTTTCCTTCTCTTTCCGTTGTTTTTATTTGTGAATGTATTTTTGTATCTTTGTATAAGGGGAAGGAAGTGTGTGTAGATTGGCATATGAAATATTGCGTATGTGTATTTTTCTGCCAAAGGTAGAGTGTGTGTGTACTTTGTTCCTTGTTGGTAGATTTTGATGGTTACACCTTTGAAACAAGAATTACGTCCCAAACAAACAAATGCATTGATCACTTTGGATTTTAGATTATATAAAAATGAGTCTTTTGAACAGAAGGTGTTTTTAATAAAGTGGTAATGACACGAATATTGTCTTAGATAAAAGATCTCCTCAATTTGCAATGGACTTTCTTTTTAACATTACTGTTTGTGCATGTTTACATCTGGAACTATTCAAGTTTTTGTTTGTGATATGCAAATCAGCTTATTCATAATCATGTGTTCCCTACTTCCTCACATACGCCTAAAGTCATTTTTCATTTCGTTGTAAGGCTGCAATTCTGTTTGTGTTTTATAAGAGATTTTTGCTTTTAATGAAAACTGATCACTTACTATTTGATTCTGGCAGGAACAGTGGCGGATCTAGGGCTAGTCAAAATAAATTACTGCTGCACATTTTGGAATATATTTACATTTCTAAGCCCCTCAGAGACAAGTTCATTGGTGAAATTATATTCTTTAGAATTCAAAACCAATAGTGCTTTTCTGAAAGTACTTTGAATTTCGAATTAAGTATCTTTAATTCATTTTGCTCACTGCTGCTCGCTGTGACTACCCCTAGATCCGCTACTGGGCAGGAATGTATACAAGTAACGAATACGTATTTTGATTAGGAAATATATGACCATAACTTTACTAATATACAAATCACAAAAACTTCAATAAGCTTCAAAAGTTCGCATGCAATCATCATAGTTACAAAGAAAATCCAAAACTTTTTCAGGCGATGTTTCATTCACGACAACAAAAATTTCGTGTTACATACACATCAATATATTGGCTTCTTTGAAGTATTTCTGGTGCAATGAAGCAGTTTCGCGATTTGTTTCTTAAAGTGAGAGGCAAAAAACTTGGAATTTGTTTCAATACATTCAAAAAAAACACACGGTGTGTGCGTATTAGTAAAAGAGACAAAAAAGATAATAAAAATTCTCACGAATTTCTTCATATGACGTAGGATCAGAATTAGGATTTGTGTTTGGACTTTCATCTTCATCGAAAGCTCTTTCCATGTGCGAAAATACACTTGAGCAAGTGGATTCGACGCTTGAACTTAATGGTTCTTGAAGCGGAGTTTCCTGTGGCTGCATTGGGCCAACAAATGCAGATATTGCTGTTGTTAAACAAATCAAGATATTGCTGTTGTTAAAGAAAATGCCCATTGTCAGTTGTTTCATAAATTAAAAAATTTCTTTAACTTGCCTCAATAATCTCTGTCGTTCTGACAGAGATTATTGAGGCAAGTTAAAGAAATCGACGCATTGAAAACTAGGATGGAAACACTTGAATCTGGTAACAATACGTGATCGTTAATTTTACTGGTTTTATCTGTTTTTTTGTTGAGGACATTAAATTCTTCTTGCGCTTATAGGGTTGACATGTAAAGAAGAAGAACGACAGAGATTATTGAGGCAAGTTAAAGAAATCGACGCATTGAAAACTAGGATGGAAACACTTGAATCTGGTAACAATACGTGATCGTTAATTTTACTGGTTTTATCTGTTTTTTTGTTGAGGACATTAAATTCTTCTTGCGTTCATAGAGTTGACATGTAAAGAAGAAAAACGACAGAGATTATTGAGGCAAGGATGAGTACATGTATACGACGTTGGTTATTCCAGATCTTTCACGGTCTGTTGTTAATGTAACCTTTGTGATAAACGCATGTTTCTTGTATGGGTCTCTTTAATTTCGAAGGACAGCTCTATCCCGCATACGTCACATCCGTTCGAGCTGTTTTATTCAGCTATTCTGCATTATTTGAGCTCGAAGTTTTCCAAACGTAAAATTGTTGATTCGTTCTACGTACTTCTGTCAAAAAAATGTCGTTTTTTTTGGAAACGGTTAAGACGTCTAGGTATGTTTACGCCACAGTATAAGAGTAGGTCCACTTCTTGTGCAACTGCTGCTGTGTATTTATTTAGATTACTGCCTGCCGTTAGCCATTCCGTCATTTTTATCGGACAAAAAAGCAATTGACTGGCTGCCATAATAGTATGCATGGCACGAAACTATTCAATTGAGGGGCTGTGCTGTATTCTGTGCTTACTCCCTGAGAGCAGTGTGGGCAATATACGTGCAAATTTCTTACTAAATTTGGTCTGATGAGCTTTTGAACTCTTCCACCTGCTTTACGTAGTTGCAGAATTCAGAACAGGGGGTAGTGTTTAAGCTCGTACGGCCGATCTGGTAAAAAATTGTATCTCTGGTCAAACTGCCCGTGTTTGTTCTAAATATATCATTTAAAAGCGAAAAAATATGACCTTAACTATAGTGGTGGCCTAAAAGACGTCCTTCACCTTGACTTTTACGTCTTAACCGTTTTAAAGTGTAAAAACGGCCAGATGAATAAACAGTTTAAAACTAACGTCTTGTTTATGGAACAGTTTTATAATGATTTTATCATCCTCATGTCTTAACACGTCTACAGTGAGAAAGAATCGAAGTCTTTGGCGATATCTGAGCGTAGACTGGAAATTAGCGAACTAGAAAGGAGTGCTTGTGAAATGGAAACTATTGAGGTGGGAATTTTCATTTCTACCGTGTTCGTTTTACGATTGCCAAAAATGAGTGATGGCGTTTTTAGTAAAGGCGCCTGGAAAGCGTTCAAGAAATCGAAAACGTTCTTCCAGCGCAAACAGGGTAAGGTTATTGATTATTCGGACCTCGAAATGTTTACAGCCATTTGTTGTAACAGCGCCAGTAATATCGTTAGTTGATGACACGTGATAAGTGTCGCTCTTGATTGTAGCATTCAAGAATGGAAGCTAGCGACGGTTCGTGAAAGAGAGTTGAACTTTACATTTCTTGACGGAAGTCTTCGTTTAAATGTAAAGTTTGAAGACGACCAGTATACTGTGAAGGATATTGACCTTGTGACCGACTTACAAGGTTTTTATATTATTTATAATATGATCTTCAACTTGGCTAACACAGTGAACTGTATTATAAACTGGAACGCTAACTCTAATGCTAGCCTCTATACGACATTTTGAAGCCAGTTAAGATGTATTTGTATCTGAGTTTTTAGGTTTTCCTAACAAATCTTGTGTGCTAAAACTTTTCATGACAAATTGTGCTACTGTATTTTATGTGTATCGTTGTTGATTTTCTGAATAATATCATGAAACTTCTAAAAACTCAGAAAAACAAGCTTCGTTTTCGGAGATGACGGAAGATGGCGGAGTTACAGTTCACTGGGCTGATGATAGAGAATTCTTGAGGTAGTGTTGAAACATGATGAGACCACGGGGTGATATTTGAACACGATGGGATTATAGGGTGTATCTGAGAAGGGAACACAAAGCCTAGAATATTGTAAGTGGGCTAGATGTGATAACTCATTTCTATACTTCTTACTTAAGCTGAGCAAATGCATCTCCTTTGTAAAAAACGCAGTAACCATGCGCGTTGGATCATATGTTGCATTTTAGGCACCAGTCCACCCATTAAAACACTCGCCATTTCTTTGATCAAAGAGCATTTTGCCAACCGTCAACTCTCTTCGCTATTTTCGAATCGGAGTAAAATATCAAAGGTAAGATAGCTGTCCTCTTAAGTTAAACGCTTTAGTACGCCCCATACTACGAATTCTTATGAATGCAATTTCAGCTCCTTCATCAAGTGTCGTACGCAAGTGTTCGAGCGAGGATGTTGGTGAAAGCAATCAAAAAATTTGCTATTGATCACATCGTTGTAACTGAAGACAAGATGTAGGTATAGTATGGTCTGCTGTTTTTATCGGGGAATCTGTGATGTTGAAAGAGCAACAGTTGGGAATTTGCCTCATTCGAACGTTTGAACCCAAAAACTTTTACATTTCTAATAAACCGCAGGAATTGTCGAGTTCATTCTATTTTGAATAATGAACAATTTCAATGACTGGTGAGAATTATCAAGCATTATATACAATACCTTCACGACCAGGATTACTCTGACCTAGATCGTCCAGGTCAGAGAAGTCCAGAGAACGACTATTGGTGTTGACGTTGGCTGTCACGTGACTAAGAAGATGGCTACCGCTGACTGTATCTATCGCTAAGGTTATCGAAACGTCAGTCAACATCAACACCAAGTTATTTTTAATGGACTTTATACTAACCTGGACGATCTACATCTAAATGTTCGAACATGTAACGACACTATAGCGTTCGAATCATTCACTATGCAATAACTTAGTTGTATACAATGTTTGAATCCGTTGGTTTGTTAGCTAAGAACTGTTTGCCCTGAGGAGGATCGCAGAAAGTGAAAGCCCAAACCTCTATTTCACAGTTTCTCGAGTATATTACCTTGTACAATCCTAGACTCTACGACTCCAACTATAGCGCGTTCAGACTGAGTGCCGGAGTACGATACCCTGGTTCGGTCATAAATCTGCAGGCCGTTCACACAACGTAGTATTCACTAGATTCGTCTATTTATAATTTCATGTTTTTCATTGTTAACAACTTTTGAAACCATATGCTGAATACGCGTCTCTCTGTACATGTTACTCAGGTGTCGTCGTTCACATTGGTGCCCGTGCTTGAGAACCGTACTTGGGTACTGCCTTTTTCGTGGTGCCCAGACCCGGGCATTTTGACTCGGGCACCATCAAAATGTCGTGTTCACATTGGTGTCCGTGCCGGGGCACTCAGTCTGAATGCGCTATTAGTTTTCCGTATCTAATAATAAACTTGTGCCAGTTAAACGAATTGTTGAGAAATTTATCGTGTTTTAGTTTGAAGACAGAATTTTCGAGTTACGAAAAGTTCTTGAAGTTTGTCGTTACATTTGATCTGCGCTCTCTCGTGATCGATGGGAAAATACCGTTCACAACCCAACGAGTCATCGGCACTTGCGTAAGGTACGTTTATTTGATGAAGGCAACGGAAGTAAAAATGCTGAAAGTTCACGTGATTGATTTCACTCACTAGTCTACCGTTTTGGAGTTCAAGCTAGGTGCTTACGCTCTCGAAATGTTGACTAAACATTCGCTCAACATTGTCAGGCGTTTGTTGAGTGATTTTAAGTGACGTGTGCAAACGCTCTCAACATGTTGAGCTTTAAAATGATAACACAAAGGATCGTGGAATAAAATATTCCTCGACGCCTAGCAACTGCGTATATATCTATACAGCTACATATACGGTTCAGTTACATATACGATTTGTTGAGTGTGTTGTTCCAAAGCACTAAATAATGTTGAGGTACGTTTTGTTGAGTGTGGAACAATGAAAATGTTGAGGTACGTTTTGGTGAGTGTGGAACAATGAAAATGTTGAGGTACGTTTTGGTGAGTGTGGAACAATGAAAATGTTGAGGTACGTTTTGGTGAGTGTGGAACAATGAAAATGTTGAGGTACGTTTTGGTGAGTGTAGGAAAATGAAAATGTTGAGGTACGTTTTGGTGAGTGTGGAACAATGAAAATGTTGAGGTACGTTTTGGTGAGTGTGGAACAATGTGTGGAACAATGAAAATGTTGAGCGCTGTTTAGTGAAGAGTTTGAGCAAGTTTAAAAAGTTTTTAATAGTTGTTTCTCGATTTTTACAGCGTTGAAAGCATCAAAGAGAGGCTAAACGCGTTTCCAGCAATCATTCAAAATCTTCCCAAAATTCTTAGCGCGGCGGATGAGTTACTTCATGTTGGGAAAATGAACGGACACGAGTAGTCCAAAATTAACGTTAGCCGTTAGAGTTTTTACTTTACGTAATCCAATTCATATTAGAAATAAAACTTTAATTATTTTTTTCGTACAATGATGTGTTCGTACTTACAGTGCTGCAACATCATTTCTATGTAACATTTATATGATTCAATATATTACCACATTCGTGGCAACATCTACATTCTTTTAGATTAACCAAGAGAGGAACACGGCACTTACCACAATCGCATCTAAGAAAGTTCTCTGTCAAAATCTTCGGCAACAATAAATAAACAAATATTCCAACTTTTCTTACCAAGAATCAAGAGGAACTTCATTTTGCATTCTGCGTTCGAGCTCTTCTGTTTGGCGTCTTTGTTCTTCTTTCTCTCTATTATAGTTTTCTAACCACTCATCATCCGCAAGTGGTTCGTTTTCATACGCTTCAGCTTGGCCATACTCAAAATCGCCATCGGTGTTTCGGAGCGCATTTGATGACGATTGATCTTCGTCTTCTAAATCGAATTCCCGACTGTTTAATTCAATATTTCCCGCTGTTGTTGCTGTACTCGACTCAGAATCGGATGTCGACATGTTTCGTACAATTTTTATATTAATTTCAAAGCAATATATAAAGAATTGTTATTTCACACTGGGTTGTTTTGTATGCAGCGCAGTCATACGTTCCTTAAATGACGTCACAAACCTCTAGTCTTTAGTCCCCTCAGAGGCGCGGAAATTTCTCAAAAGCAAGCTAATTCAAACCGCCAAAAAAACTTTGTTTTTATTTTTTTTACGAAATTTTCTTTGAAATCAGATTTTCCACAGTCTAAACTTTAAAAGTTCAACGAATTTGGGAAGGCTGTATGTGCACTTTAAGTCGATTCGCTTGAAATACTCAAAGATTTTGCCAGAAGACAAAATGGCAATTTACAGATTTGGTGAATATATAATACAGAAAATGTGGTCAAAGCATACCTGTTAGACATTAACGTTATAAGGTGAACGCCAAATGGCTTCCTTTCTAACTTCTGTATTAAAGGCACTTGTTACACTAGCTGAGATATGGAGTCGTCAAGTAAAAGGTATTGTTTTTGACCGCTATTGTCCTTCGAAAGATTTGAATACAAAACGCCTCCGTGTAAAAATGTATCGCACATCAACATGAGACCACAAAGCTACTCAAAAAAGACCATTTTTCAATACAATTGTAAAACTACCAATATATTTTCTTTACTACCGTTTCCTCGCTTTTCGCTGGTGCAATGACAAATGACCGAGCTCCTGTAGTGCATCGAAGAAGACTGAGACTAGTTTTGGTTTGATCTCTCTGTCTATGCCTAACTGGATGTAGCGTAGAAAAGATCAACTAGAATAGTGAGCAATAGAAACGTTGTATTTTCTTGATTCAACACCTAAAAAATGTTTTCATACGAATGTAATTTATTGAAAATTATCTTTTACTGAATTTTGACTTTTTAATACCTTTTTAACTTGCCGTAAAACACATTAAAGGACACATGCAAGCTAGAAGACAGCTTTATTTTATTGTAATGCCTATAGCGTGAAAATAAGACGTACCAAGTTTCAAAGTCGTCCGCAAAATATTTAAAAAGATATTTAGGGTTATAATCGGTAAAGACACGATATTCGATGACCATTGCTAAAACGCCGTGAGATTGTTTAAGTCTGGGAACTGGGAAAAAGTGACGTATTAGTTGACATAAACAAGCTTCGTTCTTATATCGTTCTACGACTTGCACGGCTTTCGGTAGTTTGCTATTACTGTTTTTTATTTATCAAAAATTAATGGATTCTTCTGAAGAAGATGCCGATTATGATATGGTCATCAATAACAATGAGGTACAACCTTACATGTTTGAGCCTTTGGCCAACGCGCAAGGTGGTCATAGTAATGACAATTCTCCGTCATCGGAAAGCGAAGATAAATACATTCACAGAATTGGAAATGTTGAATGGTTAGTTGCATTTTATTGATGCTTCATTGTTTTTCCAAAAGTAAGAACAATGTTTTTATCTTTTTATCTCGTCGCCTACAAGAAAGTCGTCATGTTCTGCAAGAACGTCGTCAATAATCTAAAATTATAAAATTGTCCTCAATTTGGTAATGCTAATAGCTTAGTTTTTATAAATGTAAACAAATAATGCTAACTATAACTATAATAATCACCTCTTGCCTTCGTCTCTTCTCAAATGCAGTTCTAACATTTGTTGGCTGCTTCCTTTTAGATGCTACACTTGTGGGTTCCACAGAGTATTAAAAAAAAGTGGATACGGCATCCTTCTTAAGGCTAAGCCGTCCTGCTGTCCATCCTACTGATTGCATCGCTTCAAAATTTTGCACGAAGCACGAACTCTCAAATATTGCGAGCACAATTTTGAGCTCTTTGTTGGCTTCAAATTTTTGCGTCGGATTTTTTCAATCTAAATATCTCGCATGCGCTTGTTTTCAGGAAACGAAAAAAAGAAACCTTTTGCTGCGTTGATGGTTCTTAGAAGAACCGTTTTTATAATTAAATGCGGCACAATAAACCATATTTTCAATGCTAAATTGTCGTGTTGTTAAGAAGTTACCAATATATTTTGAACGAAGCGCGCAATTGACCGCGTTTAGCTAATGTCAACTATTACGTCACAACGGCCTTTTTCCAATCGGTAGCCGTCGTTAGCTCGTCGGGCATTTTTAATACGTTATCAGTAAAGCATCAACTTTAAACCTCCATATCTTCAAAAATATTTATCCTTTGAGTCTCAAACTTTGGTGAACTATTAGTTGGAGCTATACCTTTATGTAAAGTACAAAAATAACAATCCGAATTTTATGTTGCATGTGTCCTTCAATACGATGAAACTCTTTCTCACAAGCCCGCCCTAATAATTGATACCCGTTTAGTATAGACTGAGAATTAACAGTAAGTAAACTCGTGTCTTTCATAACCAGCTCACTTCAACCAATCAATGTGCGATTTATGATACACGGTTAAGCAATCATCGTAAACTGGCAAAATCTGAGATATCATTTCAATGGTTTTAATAATATCTTCGAAATTGATGTCATCAGGAAAACCTAAACACACAAAAACGAACATTCGGGGCAAAATTCCTTGACAGAATACTAACAAGTCAAGAAATTTCCTAAAATTTCTATCTACCAAATAGTTATTTTGCGTTTTTTTGAAACTTTTCTGTAATGATGTTTTTACTTGATGAAATTCATTCTTGTAGAAACCACTCAAGCTACGAAGGACTAATAGTTTAATACTTTCTTTAATAAGTTCAACATTAACTCTCTTTAGCTATTTAAGAGCGTGATAACCCTAAAGAAAAGACCATTTATATTTTTTATTAATAAATCTAAAACGTCGCTAGAAAAAGAAAACTCAGAGTTTTCAGAACGATAGCTGTGTAACTTAAATTTCAAATAATTTCTCAGGTCTTCTTCTTTGTTTTATTACGAGGCTGAGATGTTAGTTTTACAGGATTCATTTCTTTCATCTCGTTTTGAACAGAAAATTCTGGACGACTAGTTATAAAGATTTTAATCCATTTAGGTAGACGGTTGAATTCCATTGCAATCAATTCCAATAATTCACATCTTCTATCAACTTGACTTTCACCTAATGCATCAATAACCAAAAGTATTGTTCGTCATCCTCAAAAGGAATCCAATGGATCATTTAATAAAATACGGAATGCATCTGGAATTGTTATTTTAGAATGATTTCTCTGTAATCCTTCATTCAGTTGATATTTAAAACCAGATACTGTATCACACATGTTACTGGCCAATGACTCCAACAACATTCGAGGATTTCTATAATCTGATCGATTATACTTGCAGAAATAGCAAGCAGCAAGTTTCTTCCTTTCGGAATATCGTCGGCACACTTCAGCAGAAAACACACTTTTCCAAACACCAGGACCAGCGATCAAAATCATAACATTGGAAGTATCTTTGCTTTTATCGTTAAACCACATGTCAAGTTTTTGGAATAACCATTGTGTAGTGCCTTGCAAGTATTTTTTATGATAATCTTCAATATGACCGCAGAAATTACACTTTCCAAGTTTCTCGAGATCTAAACATATATCGTCTGGCATTGTTTCTTTTACTCTTGCTACTTCAGTCATCGTCGACACCACTTCTTTTATTTTTGCTACGTCGGCTTTTATTGCCATCAATTCCTTTGTTTCTACAACATTTTTTTTCATTTGTTTTACATCATCCTTAGTTTCCTCAGCCAAATTAATTAACTGTTGTTCTTTCTTGTACCCAGCTTTTAACATGTCAATATAGGTTGCCTCTTCTCGACTTATCGTGAGAAGAGCTTCTTTTAATTCATCTATTTCATTTTGTTGGATACCAAAACCAACCAATGCTTTTGAAATTTCTTTCCAAGAGTACTCAAACTCACTGTCATCTTCACTAGGTTTGGTTATGTGACCATACACTTTGTTTCGATAATACTTTACTGTTGCAATATTTGCTGAATCTGAGTCATCTAAAGGGGAAGGAAGATTATTCCATCCGCCAGTTGGCGATGCTAGGCAACACATATTTCGCAATAAGATAGTCAATAATGAGATGTCCAAGTTCCTATGTCTGGTGAACCAGTTGACGGTAAAGAAGATCCCATTCATCTTTATTGATTATTTTGAATTTAAGTGAATGCAATGAACGTATTGTAGAAGGATCATTTCGTTTAGCATATAAATTTGATGGTTTTGATAAGGACTATAATTTATGTTTGAACGCTTGCGTTGCTTTATTTATCTAAAGTTTGCTCTAACGAGTTCCGTCAAGCCATTTCTTCAAACTAAAAATGGATGACAAAATCATGATAAAATTTATATAACAGTCTCCTGAAAAATTTAAAACGTGGAAAACTACAATCAAATTGAATTTTTTTGTAAGATGATTAGAACCATGTATACATTGAACTTTCAACATTGAAAAAAAACATTAGTATAATTTGGCTGTTTACGTTAAATTTGATTAGTTCATTCGTAGTCATATGACTTGAAATAAAAGCATTTTCCCACCATAACAGCCCAACAATCAAAAATGGGGTTTTTATAGCAAATAAAACAGGTCTATATCTTCTATATCTCAGCTTTTTCTTGGGAAACATCAAAACTCAAGGGAAAACAAAACTGCCACTTCCTTCTTTAGCATATATTATATGCATAATTTTTACTAATCATGTCACATATCATGTCAAGATACTTTTAAAAAATTGAAGTAAAACTATATTTGCTAAACAGCATCTTTAGACTATGCAAAATTTGTTTAGTCATTAAAATAGTTATAAAAAATTTTACTACGAATCTTTTGTTTGCGTAGAATCAATATTCCAGATTACTATACAACTTTTGTAAAACAAGTCATTTGTATTTATTCTTCGTAGGTTTGTTTAGAGTGTAAATAGCAGAGTTCTATTTAAATAACTATTTCATTAAAAAACTCACAAGAAAGGTCAGTTTATTTAGTTTTTACAACAAATTAACATTTGTAATTTCTCAAGTACCTAGTTTAAACAGCACTGTTGTGTTTGCTAATTGAAAACCCAATGATATAAACATGAATGTTTATATATATTGACTAGCAATTGCGGTGAAGATAAAACACAGCAGAAATTTACATATCTTATGAAAAAATCAATTTAATGCATCATTACTTACCGTATCAAGAAAGTATACACAGAGTTTTATTTACTAGCAATATCAAATTATCTATAACTTATGTTGCAATAGTGTAATAATAACAATTGCATAACCTTTGCATATATATTAGCAGCATGAATTATGTATGTGTAATAACTAGATAATAGACATGCACAAAAAAACACTTTTCGAAACTCACTTGTCAAGTTATTAATTATACTAAAATTATTATAGAACTAATGGATGATATTTAATATCAAGATAAATTTAAAAAACCAAAAGATTTTAAGCTAGAAATTTCATCTCACAACGTATGGGAGTTACAATATCCTGTTCTTAGTTTATTTCACCCGTGAAACGATCCAAAAAAGACTTTCATTGATTTAACAACTTTGTGTCATTCCTGTGTAATTTATGCACTCTCGTGACATGACATAAAAACGAATGTATTTTTTCAACTCAGACTTACCTTCGGCAACTTAAAAAATTATACCTCACTTTTGTCAAACTAATTAAATAGCAGGCCCCCCTTTTTTTCTGGAAAATTAAGTCGCCTTCCTATTGTTAAAAACTCAAGCTATGCCCCATATATGTTACTGTTCATTCTAGAATCTACAAATTTTGACTTTTGTTCTCAGGACTGGAAGCAAAGTTGTAGTTCTTCGTCTTTCAGACTTTTTTGTTTGGTCAACAATTCAATCATCACAACTTATAAAAAACACAACTGGAATCTTACACACCGTAAAAACTCCCTTCAACCATAGGCTTACTGGAGGGGGAGGAAGTAAATATTTTCCACTCACAGTGAAGAACCTTCATATTTTCCTTCCACTAACTTTAGAATATGCACAAACTTTTTAATCTTCAAACTTTCTTAAGGGGGGCAGCGTTAGGGTTAGGTTAGGCATTAGAGAAAAGCCTAGCAACAACTTAATTATGTAAAAATAATTCATTAATATGCTATTACTTGAGTAATTGTAAGCATGAATAATATATATACATACTGTATTTAATAATTTAAATTGCACTCTCGCTATCTATTATTCACGTACACAGCTATGAGACTATATTTTATTTTTTTTATAGTCATCAGACAGGTGCATTTGGCGGCATATAACCGTATTTCTAATTTTTTCCGATTTATAGTCGTATATCGTTCACTGTGGTTATGTGGTAAGGAAGGATTGTGTAGTGAAAAAATTTTGCCTTCCTGCAGCGCATCCATAATCTAAAACAAACACAGCTGTTCAAAGTAGAATAAATTATTTAAGAATGGCAGTATTTATAATCGTCGTCATTGAGAAAGAACATTTCAAATTCAAAGTGGCATCGTATTTAAAAAAGATGGTTGCGTTCATTTTTGGCATTTTTCTTGTAATTGCGGCTTGTAATGCAACAAATAAGGCATGCCAACGTTCTGAAAGCATTTTCAGGAAAACAAAAGAGAATGGTATGTGCATAGTATGAAAAACTCCAAATACTTAAAGCTTAACGCAGATGTAATGAATTCGTTTTTACTTCAAATTTAACCTATCAACTTGTTGAGTTTTCATTTTTTTGGTTTACTCAAATCAATCTGCAAAATAATTCTATTTTTAAAAAATAGAATAACAAAAAGTATTTAGCTACTACCTTGGGCTTTTTGTTTCCGTTACACAGGTAACGAACAATTTGGTAAACGTCACTAAAGTTATTAGCGCTCGAGATTTGCAAACCACTTTTGGTGGAAAAAGTTAGTAAGAATTCCTTTGGTTTATGCAACGATAAGATTGTCGCAAAAAATAGAAATGTTTAGGATGAGAATTGTGTTACCAAGAAGTACTTTCGAAATAGCTAGCGCAGAAAAATAATGCAGCTAAAAAGCAATTGGAGCTCATAAGGTTTAAATATGACACTTGTTGTCCAGGTTAAAAACGTTTTAGAGAATTTTGTTGATGCGTACGCAAACGTTTAGCTTTGAAATTGCAGATTATTTTGAATTATTTGTTCTAAATGCCATTTAGTAATAATAATTTGTACAGGGTTTTGCCAATTTCGCGGAAGCTCGTACTTTCTAAAAACATGAGCCATATTTTAACTTTAAGTGCTCCAAATGCTTTTTAGCTTTGTCATTTTTTTGTACAATCTATTTCAAAAGTGCTTTTCAATAACACAATTATCACAAACTGATCAATTGAAATTCCATCTATCTATTCCATGTGACTTCCATGTGAAAGAATGTTATATGCAGTGCGGTGCTTGAAATTAAATGAAGATATGATCTTCGCACTTTGCTGGACAATTTAAGCAATTGTCTCATAAACCTGAAAAATTCAGGTGACTCAACGGGATTCGAACCAATGACCTCAGTGATGCCGGTACAGTGCTCTAACCAACTGAGCTATGAAGACACACAGTGGAGAGCAGGTCAACGAGCAGATTCAACGAGCAGAACGTTCCTTTCACGAGAAAACATGAGCCCAACAAATTTTTCAGGTTTATTAGGCAACTGTTTAAGTTGTCCAGCAAAGTGCGAAGATCATATCTTCCTTTTATATCTATTCCATGAAAGGTTTTCGCAGATCTTGCGCGCAGATGATATAAGCGACGTTTTCTTATCTGTTTTTTTTTCATACACCTTGTGTATTACAGTTAGGGGTCTATAAATGACATGATGCAGTCAATTAAATTGTCGACAGGGAATTCTATCTATCTATCTATCTATGTCTCTGTCTATCTAGCGCCACATTTGAGTAACTTCGGTGCGGAGCTTGTAGAACTTTACAGTAATTAAACCTTAAAGTTTACGACAACAATTTTCTGCGTATGAGATATCATTTTCATCAGGTTATAAAATATTATACAATATGTCTACTCGTTATTTTCTTGCAGCAAAAAAAGTTGAAATACTATGATTGCCGGTACACTTTTAACTTTGACACTAATAAATTTTTACAATACTTAGCTAATATCTCGTGAGTGTCAAGTTAACAACATGCCTATAGCTGTATAGTTCTTGTATGGTTGACGGTTGGTAAGTGCAGAACTATGACTTATTTTAAGCAAAAACTAATTTAAATTCAACTCATGTATAACAAACACAAATCATGAATATCCAAAATTTTCTGGCATATTTTAATGTTGACAGCAAAGAGCGTGGACTACAAGAGCACATTGAAGGGTGCATACATAGAAATAAAAACTTCCCAAAAACTCGGCATCAATTTCTTTCAAACCTTTTTCTTGCAAAATACAGTTTTTTAGACCTGCATGTCACCATGATAGTTATGAAATAAAATATGTCTGCTGTGTTTGCACAAATTTATGGAAACCAAGGATACCTTTTAAAGAACTCAAGAGTTGATCAGAGCGAAAGATCGAGGGTTGCAACTGCAGCGACTATTGTCCAATCCCCGCACACGTTTTATTGTGTTCATTTTATAATTTATTATAAAGGCGATGCTCTACAACCAAAAGATATCATTTCAAGTGCTGTTGTCCACAATCTCATTGAATGCTCCATGAATTGTCTAAACCAGCAGCAATGTGTCGGCTTCAACTACCTTGATGACAGCAAAAAACATGAGAAGAACTGCCAAACAAGCAATGCAACAATAAAAAGTGGTTTAGAAAAAGAAACCTCCGTGGGATATTGGATTTTTTATCAAACCTTGGTAATAATTGTGTAAACTTGAAAATATTACTTAACACTCTTGTATCTCGAAATATATATTCTAAGTCTACTTAAACTGTCTCGATATACGTGTATGAAGATCAAAAGTCAAAAAACTGAAAAAACTTCAATCACAGGTTATACAAGTTTTCTTCTTAAGATTGCCTAATTTGTTTTCGTAAAAGCATTAAGTCGTGAACATTTTATAAAAATTAAAGACTAAGTGTGTACTCCATTGTTTTTTCACCGCCATAGTAACATAATTTTTTATTACACATTGTAGAAATATTCAATGTTTGACTCGGCTATTCTAAAGAGTAATAATAATTGGATATTACAAATCAAAAAATGGCTTCCTTCCTACCTGAAAGTCGAAAAGGCGTTTCGATGTTACCAAGCAACAAAAAATGGTTGGAAGTCGAGCATATTTCACAGTTGCTGTGATTACAAGGGACCAACATTGGTCATAGTAAAAGTGAAAAGCTATGTGTTTGGTGGATTTGCATCAGAATCATGGGGAGGTAAGATACAACGACTAACATGAATGTACATCTGTACTTGATTATGAAACACATTTCGAGCAAATAAATGAGTTTACGACTATTTTGCTCTTTGGTCGAGCTGATAGTGTGATTTTTTAGCTCCATTTCAGCTTTTCGCGCATTATTTTCCAAATTATTTTTCTGAAATTTTAATGCGTAAATTTCTAATTCATTGTGTTATTTAAAGCTATTGTGTAAATAAAATTTGTAAACTTGCACCCTCAAAGTCAAAGTCTTTCTCTTTCAACTGATGTTTTTCTTTACTGAAAAACCAATCAGTTGGATGAATGAAGAAAAGGGATTTAGCTATAAATATATAAGCGGAAAAAATAAAAACAGTTCCCAGATAAAATGTTAGGAGTTTAAACCAATGATCATTTACGTTTTGATAAGTAAATAGATAGCATAAGTAAAAAGGTCAAACAGAAAATCCGGCAGTTTCTCAAAAATAATTTTTGGAGAAAAATATTGCAAATCTCTAAATGATGAGCAGCATAAGTTTCATAGCAGAGTTCCGAGGGTCGTCATTACCATTCTTCTATGTTCACGATATTCGCTAGGGTTATAATTTGTGCAAAGACAAAACAGGAAAAATTGTTCCCAAATAAGGAAAAGAAAAAAACAGATAAAATTGTAACAGGTGATGATCATGTAAACATTTCAAAAAAGTTCAAAATGTCCCAATCACACCCATCTGCCTTAGGAAAGCAAGAATGAATTATTCTTGTTGATCAACGCAACATTACAGTAAAGTCCAAATTCTAAACTCAGGCTTACCTTTAATAGTCCTAGTAAAAATCGATGAATAATAAAATTTCGAGACCGTATTTATAAAAACCATCATAGGACACAACCCAGAAAATTTGCACTATGACTTAATCACTCATTGCAAAACTATAATATTTAAAAGATTCATTGCACAAAATGAATCAAAAGTCTATTAAGATTTCGTACAAATTTACATAAATTTTGATGCAGCTTCAAAGCTATAACTTCAAGTCATTTGTTAGCACTAGAAAGAAAGCTATTTGAACGTAAACTATATTGCAAAATACAGAAAAGATTTTTTCTTAAAATGACACATATAAAAATAAGATGCCATTGCATTTGGTAAAGTATAGCTACGTAATGTTCGAATATTTGACACGAAAAAATGTTAAGTTTTTTATGAAGGGCCAAGTGAGGTTGCACTAAAGACGTATCTTAATTGAGTTTGACATTTTAACTAGGTAATATTAACTGGATGTAAAATGCAGCTATAAATATAGCCAATAAAGCTGTTTGTTTCTATATTGCATAAAAAACTGTTAGAAAAATTAATAGAAAAAGATACGGCTAGTATCAAACATTTAGCTCTGTGCATGTTCCATTTAAGACAAAAGATAGCTAACAAAGAATTTTATCCCTCTCTCTTTCGCTTTTATTGCATTTTTTCCCGAGGAATTTTTCAAATATATGTGTTGTTGTTTTTTAGGGAATACTGGTTACAAAAGAGCAGATCAGTCGTTCATTTTCTCCTTAAAAAACAGAGATAATTTGCCACCATTTAAATCCAAAATTGAAAGGAATAGACAATATGCAATGTCAACGAAGGAGCACGCTGGAGCCACATTTGGAGCTGGTTGGGATTTGCATATATCTGATAATGCCAACTATAATAGTGGGTCGCTCGCACGCTTTGGAAGTTCGTACAAGCTTCCAAATGGTTATTACTACAACACCGAAAAAACAAATAATTTGCTGGCCGGTTCTCTTTACTTTACACCAGATGAAGTGGAGGTGTTTTTTTTTTCTTCATAAATCTTCAAAACATAATAAATAGTATTAAGACTGCGAGTGTGTTCCAATTTTACCATATACTGAAGCAAACTTGCCGTAACTTGTAGTTTATGACGTTATAAAGAAATAATTTATAATGAGATGATAGCAAAGACTTGTTATAGCTAAAATAATAGTAATAATGAATTTATTTCATTTGATCAGCTTTTTAGTGTTTTCATTTAATGCAGCTGAAAATAGTATGTCGTGAATGCTCAAACTATCTTTTGTCAAATGCTGAAAATACGTTATTAGGGAATAGTTCAATCACACCGTTTGATGGTTGTTTGTAGCTTTATATGTTTTTTAAGATTTAAATCTATTTCAATCCAAAGATTTCTCTGTTGAAAAGAACATTTGTTGGGAATAAGGTAAGTGAAATAACGGGTAAAAACAATTGATAATGTTATTTGTGTCTCTATAAAGCAATGCATGTTTTGCTTCTCGATAAAATTATAGTAACATATAAATCAAGGACGTCACGACCATGATTGTTATTTGTATACGTAATCGTATAGTTTCGATTGCAATTATGGATAAACATGCACGAGAAAGTTTTTTAAATACTGTAGTGAAATTTCTTGAGTCCAAAGGACGAGTTTTGCCGAGAAACTATACAACTACTTAATAATAATATACTTTGAGGTATTTCTTCAGTGCACCGTCTAACTCTGTCTCACTTCGTTACTCTCTATCGCTTCAAAAAAGCCTCATTACTTGGCCTAACTGTTAATAACATTCACCGATAAACAGCACTTGTTCTTTTGTTTTTATTCCGTGCATTTTTTTGTAGTTCTTGAATTTCAAACGATTACAATTGTGGAAATCTTCGTTTGCTTACAACTACCGTTATGTTGCTTTTAGTCTTGAAAAGAAGCTCGATTCGCTTTCACTGCTTTTTAAGCTAATCAGGATTATCACTTTACAGTATTTACAGAGGACTTACACTTTTTTACAGTGCAATTACAGCTTTTTACAGTGCAATTGCACATTTTCACAGTGCAGTTGCAAATAAACTGCACTGCAATCCACCAATCACAGAGGAGAAATATCTCAAGGTATATTATTAAATATGAAATTATTCTTTTCGCTAGACACGTCTAGTCGAACAAATTAATCTTAAAAATATTTATAGGGATCTTGATAAGGAAAAATTTGATTTTGCAATGTTGATGTTGCTACCTTTCCTTATATCTATCTTAAAGTATTTTCATTTTTATTTTCATAAAGCACAAACAGGAGTCTTCGGCATAATAAAAAACTCAAGTAAAAAACCACTATCATTAAGTAATTATATGTCCGTTACGTTATTTGTTTTTGAAACGATAGACTATTTATAGCAATGGTTTTGCAATCGTGCGTGAGGTTTCCAGAGTTGCGTGAAGTTATAATTTTATCCTGGCCTATTGAAAGGAGAGTCTCTATCAATTTCCATTAAATTCAACGATTATAAACGTTTCTGTATACCATTGGTATGCGTCGACTAGACAGTACTGTAAAAAACAAAGCAGCTTAAAGGCATCTAAGAATGACGGTCTTGGTCATTGACTTATCGTTTGAATACTCACGATTCTCAGTATCTGAAAAACTTACATTGTCACTATCATCATAATCACTAGTTTCAAGATTTCACTATCATCATGGTTACTTTGAGTTGTTTGCTAAGAACTGCTAAATTTTTAAAATTTTCTCGGTAACGCATCTGTACGAATCTACATAAAACGCATCAAAGAAGGTTTTCACTACAGATTGAAGATTGTGCAATGTCTTGCAATTTTTCAAGATTGAATTCATTGAAGATTGAATGGAATCTAGTAATTTATAAAATGTGTTTCATCTCGCCTCCATTGTTCCTTTTGTAGGTCTGCCTGCTCATCTGCCGCTTGTTCTCCGTCCATTAGTTGTCAAAAGCGAGGTCATGGCTACTAAGTTTCGACATCTAACACAAAAAGAATAGGAAAATTTGATAATTTTTTATAGCACATATGATATAAATTTCATAATTTGAGCTACTGACCATTTCTATCGCTTTCCTGAAGTCAGCATTTAGGCTCTTCAGATATCGATATCAGATGTTTAATACAATAAATTTTAAGGTTTTCATTCTTTTGAAACAATTTAAACAATTCGTGCATTTTATGGGACATAATAGTGAGAAAAAACAGTAATGAAATCATTGGCAACACAAGCTGAATCAGCGGACACGACAAGATTTAGCGTATGAGCATAGTAGTGAGCACAAATAATGTGGTTTCCGATTTTCTCTTTCACAATTGCGTGCAAACCATTGTAAAATCCGTCATAAGTTTGGGCAGCAAGCTCATGTGAAACACCATGCAATTTTAACAATGCGGAAATGGCTGTGTTAAGGTCATGTGCAGTTGTTCTAGTTGCTCTTCGGCAAGACAAAAAGTTCATAACATTCGCCAGTTTGATTGAAAAGTCTTACGCTTAACCTCAGCTGCTCTGTATGAGAAACATCCCGCGTTGTATTACCAAACAATGCCCATGTTCTGCAGTTCTGTATTTTTTTGTACAAACAGAAGATATTCCCTTTGCCATTGATAATGAGAAAAATATCGGCAGCCACTCGGAAAATTAGGATTTTTAGTTCTCAATTTTCGAAAAAAGAAATACCATGTTTTTATACCAAAAAATTTTCATTTCATTAATTTTGAAATTTATGAGTGGCGTGGTTTCGAGACTTGTCTCTGCGATTAACAAGGCAGGGATCGTAATCTTAGCAGGACAAATACCCAGGAAATAATGTTTCCTTTATGAACACAAGTGTTGAGCGGATGGAGATGTTCCTCACGATTGCGTTTTATTTTTGTTTACGTAGTTTGTCATTTACAAAGTAACACTTTGGACAGAGGCTTCCCCAACTTTGAAATCCACCAAAGAATATATTGTCCATTCTCAAACATTATTCAGAAAGTTTCTAAAAGAATAGCGTCACCAAATTTAAAGTCAAAGTTCACAATTTAATAACGTTTTTGATAAAGTTCTGATGAAAACATTAAGGAAGAAAAAATGTACTTACTATGACAATTTATTCAATATAAAAGCAGCTCAAAGGTAGTATATGTTTTCCACCAAAAGTACATAATCTACAGCTGCATTGCACAAATTTTTCGTTATTATATGTAACTCAACCTCAGGAGAACGATTAGCAAAAGCCAAATCCGTTTTCATTGTGAAAAATGATCAAGTTATACGTGTCTACCATCGTTGTGAATGTAAACCATTATGTTTGTTCAATGTATCTTGATCGTATTTGGTCATCATTTGTTGTTGAATAAAAATAAGTTCAAGTGTAAAATCAAGCATGAAACAACAAGTATTAGTTACCAAAACAAAAACTTTAGGGAAAGACAAATTGGACTTCACATTTTGCATGAATAAAGATCACAATGCCTTTCCTATTTTACACTTTGATCAAAGATAAAATTCTCTGTTAGAAGAAAATTCAAAGACCTACCAGAACTTGGTTTCAAGGAAATATTCCAATGATACTTCACAAATGACTTCAAATATTTCCAAATAATTTTGGTGCACGACCTGATGAACTATTGAAATGACAAGTTCTTAAACTGTACATGTGTTAATCTTGAAGTATGGCAATAGTTGAGTTAACGCGTTGTGTTTTGATTGGTCAGTTTCTAGGCGCATCATCAATTGTAATTGGTACCCACGTAATAAAGGTCACTAAGCTACATCTTATATTAAATTGTATTTATACAAGCCAATGCTATTATATTATAATTAGCATTGCATAAGAACTGCAATGACTTAATCCAATATGTTTAGTACAAGAAACTTAAGGTTTAACAAACAATTGTTAAATGCGTTAGCAATCTACATGTGTCCCAAACAAACTGCTCATCTTTGAAATCAGCATTGGCGTCAATCCTGTGTTAATTGGGGGACCATATTCATATATTCTGCTTTGCCTGGTTAATTTCTTTTTAAAACAATTTTACTATAAAAAGAAATCAGCCTGGCATAACAGAATAATGAATATGGTCCCCCCCAATTATCGAAGGATTGACGCCCATGGAAATCAGCCAAATCTAGAATTTTTATGATTCAGCAATAATTGATCCCCGAGAAGCCGTAAAAGCAATTGAAAACAATAATGCGTGAAGTTCATTGTGATAACGTTGACGTCTTTTGGGGTCAGTTACTGCCAAACTATGCAAATAATAAATGTCGGCTGATTTCAATGATTAACAAATTTTTTAAGACACACAGTAGCTGCTGAAATGGCAAATGAATAAGACATCAAGAAATTTAATCATAAGAAATTTGTTTAGAAATCACTATGAAAGTAGCCAGCCCTTTTAATGTCTACCAACTGGAGAAGACTCATTTTCTCATTAGGCCTGCTTACATGAGACCGGAAAGAAGTCAAACCGGTACCAGCTCCTGTTGGTTATAGTATTTATAGTAGATGTGTACAGGGTACCGCTACGAAAATAGCTCAGAGTGGTCCAAAGTCGTACCGCCTTTTCAACTGAGCCGACTGAGTTCAGAACGGCATGGATTGAAACCCGCATCAATGTAAGCTCAAATTAACGTTCAAGCCACTTATATATATAAAGACAGGATAACGTAACCAAATTCTGGTGCCTTAAAAATTTTGAAGCCAACTTGTGACAACGGCGGCCATAGCGGACTATCCACCTCTACCTCTAGTATATATTTTATAATGAATTTTTATTATATTTTGTATTCTACTTAATTTATCTTTCAGGAATCATGCCATATCTTTTTTATAATATTTAAGCAACGTGAGAACATTTCTAAATGAAATGTAGCAAACATGAGTTTTTTCCCAAAATCCGTCTTTGCAGTCTTGTCATCATAATAATTTTTTTTGTCCCAAGAGTAAAACATATGATCCAAAAAAAATGTGAAAATAGCAGTTTGTTATATAAAACCTATATAAACCTGCAAAAATGGATAGTCCAATATGGCCGCCACCTGGCGTTAAGGCAAGCACTAAGTTATGTTATCCAGTTTTATACATATCAGTGGCTCATGTTGATGAGGCGTTTCTCGACATGATCAAATGTAGGATAATTAAATGGATTCAATTCGTTTTAATATAGGCCATTTTAGTAGTAGAGAAGCACATGGAATAATAATTAGTTACATAGCA